TATAGATAGAAGGAACAGTGAGTTGGATATAGAGAGGAAGAGGGTATCATTCTATAAATTAGAGTTAACTGAACAGAAGGATTTGGAGCGGAGATGAAATACAGAATATTGTGTTGAATGAGCCAAGAAGTCACCGGTGACAAATCACACACAAAATCAACGAAGGGCAAGGCCCGTGCGAGCTGAGGGTAACTCAACGGGTTGAGACTCTCACGAGCCTCACCCAAATAGAGGGTGTGAGTAACCCACAGGAAGGGATCGGCAGACCGAGAGATCGGTGTTGACGTCAGTGGCAAATTAAACCGTGACACAAAAGTCAGCCGATCCCTTGCCCGGGCTCCCCCCACTACAAACAAATGTTGCAATTCCGTAAGGAATTTTGATTTTTTTTGTCCAGAATTTTGATTGCCAAAAAAATCAAAATCCCGTGACGGAATTGGGACGGAAGTTTGATGTTCCCAAAAAAAACTAAAATTCTGTGACGGAATTGGGACGGAATTTTGAAAGTGTGCATGCCCATGTGTATGTACAAACGACCAAAAAATGGCTTGAAGCGCCTTGTTTGCAGTGTACAACCGGCCTTCAGGGCATTTAGCCATCTTTGTATCTTCCTTGTAAAGAACCCATGAGGTGCTTGAAGGTGCTTGTCTTTTATATTCACTTTCCCTGGTTTTACATCCGTCTTACAAATAGTTTCTTTTTGTCATCATTCTTATAACCTCATCAATCATCATTCTTATAATCTCATCACTCATCATCTTACTTATATTAACCTCGATAGTATATTCCAAGCTCTTCTTTCGATCACTTCACCGCATAGGTCACGAGCCAGCCATCAGCCAGCATCAAATCAACAAGCTTCTCGCATACCGACACTCTACCATCTTTGGACACAAATCACCGGGCCATTGCACTTGGTGGCGGAGGTGGATCCAGGACACGCCTGTCGACTCAATTAACCGATGCTACCTCTTCACCCTATATGACTCGTCAAAGCACTTGCTAGACGCTGTTACCGGCAATAACTCTCACGGTGCAATACAGACATCCTACTCCTTTTCAATGCCTAAGTTACCTTATGGCATCGAGCACTATCAAATTTCATCCTCACACAGCTGATCATGGCTGAGATCGATTGTGAGGCATTGCATCAGGCTTTAAAGATCTCCTTCGATAAGAAGACTAGTCTGATTGAGGCTGATTGAGGTAAAATAAGTATGAAACTCGCTACCCCTTCTATCCCTGCACTTGGAACAAGCTACTGATTTGAAGCTTCAACCTCTTACTTGATTCACAGTTACATGCCTGGAAACAATTACAGTCGGATATTCTACACCAGCTGATGCTACCCCAACCACCCCTCTCAAAGTCTCGCAAATCGATTTACAATACAAGTATTCTCCAGAGACACCGTGGGCTCCCATTCACGAGGTTTCTGATGGTCGCGTTGAACGCATCAAGAAACATTACTGCCACATTTGGGACCTCGGTACCGAGGTAAGTGTTTTCAAACTTCAACGCAGATTTAAATTGCCGTCCTCGTACTCCAACTAATAACTGCTATTCGTGAAAATTGAAAATTTGTAGGAGGAATTGGAGCAACTCCCTACATCCCCAAATGCGGTCTTTGAGGGCCCTGAAGTCACCATCACTGCCCAAGATGTCGAATCTTTCACCAATGTAACCCTTAACAAATCCGATGTATACCGTGCTTCGAACGCTCGAATGGAAGTTCCCATGGATTTCAGTATCAAACTCGGCTGGAAGGCGATTATGAAGCCCCTTTTCCCAAAATCTGTACCTGGTGATTTACTTGCCTTGGTCCATCTCAGTAACGGATTCACCATGACTCCATGAGGCACCGTGCACCTCAACTCAAGGGTTGTCCATTACATGTCATGTGAATTCCCAATCATTTTGCTGACATGAATCCATCTTTCAGGTGGGCGATGTCGTTGTTAGCGAAGCCAAAATTGCTAGCATCACCAACAGTGAAACTGGAAAAACCGTATCTGTTAAGGGTACCGTCTTCCTCTTGAAAGATGGCGCCAAAGTGGCGGTTATGGACGTATTGTTATCCTTTTTCTATCGCGGTCGATTCGATGACTATGACGCAACTTTCATGTCTGAAGATGACCCCGAGTACAAAGTCACCATGGCTACAACCACCGATATCGCTGTCCGTCTAAAGAGTGGTTTGATTGGGACGATGAGAAAGTCAACCTTGCCGCTGGTCAGACGTTGACGTTCAAAGCCTCATCTTCGTACCGTTACAGAGAGAAGAGCGTTTACTCGAATGTTCAAGTTGAAGGCTTCACCTATCTCACTGGCCTCGGCGCCGACCCCAATCAACTTGTCCAGGTGGCTACCATCACTTACAACTCTTCTCTACCATCTCGAGGAAATCCCGTTGTCGAATATCTCAAGAGGTCTGGGAGTCCTGTCGGTCAACACATCTTATTTACTAACGGAGGTTATGTCATCAAAGATGATCATCCCGAAGAACTCTCCACCCCTCCCAGTAACCAAGCTTATTCCCACTCGAGTTCCGACTGGAATCCTATTCACTGCAATCCTTACTTCGCTAGTCTCGCTTCTCTGCCCGGTACCATCACTCACGCTATGTGGTCTAGTGCGGCGACTCGGAGTGTTGTCGAACGAGTTGCGGCCGAGGGACATGGATCTCTCGTCAAGAGTTACGATGTCTCCTTCACTGGCATGCTTTTGCCCAATACGCCTCTCAAAGTCGAATTGAAACACATCGGTCAAACTTCAAGAGGAAACAAACTTATTTCCGTCACCACGCTTGCCTTACCGTCTGAATCATCTTCCTCCACCCCACCTACAAAAGTATTAGTCGGGACAGCTGAAGTAGCCCAAGCTCCGACTGCCTACGTCTTCACCGGTCAAGGTAGTCAGGAACAAGGCATGGGACTGTTTCTTTACAACGAATCTGCAGTGGCCAAGACTGTTTGGGACGAAGCTGACCGAAATCTTGGTGAAGTGTATGGATTCAGTATTCCTGAAATCGTTCGCAACAATCCTAAGGAGAAAGTTGTTCACTTTGGCGGAATCAAGGGACACGGAATCCGACAGCGATACATGGAGATGTCATACCAGACCACCGATAAAGATGGCAACGTCAAGACTTTACCCTTGTTCGGAGACATCGATCTACGAACCTCCCAATACACCTTCTCATCGCCTACTGGTCTTTTATATGCGACTCAATTCGCACACATCGCATTGGTGGTTACTGAAAAAGCTGCCTTTGAGGATATGCGTGAGAAGGGTTTGGTACAAGTAGGCGCAGCGTTTGCTGGGCACAGTCTTGGAGAGTATTCTGCGTTGGCGAGTATGGCTGGTATTCTTCCTATTTCCTCTTCGGTCGATGTCGTCTTTTTCCGAGGTATCACCATGCAGCGTGCAGTTGAGCGAGATGAACACAATTGATCCAACTATGCTATGGCCGCTGTCAATCCTAGTCGAATCGGTAAAAGTTTCACTGATGCAGCTCTTCGAGAGGTGGTCGAGACCATCTCCAAGCGATGCAACGTCTTGGTGGAGATTGTCAATTTCAACGTTGAAGGTCAACAATATGTCGCCGCGGGTGAACTGGTAGCTTTACAGACCTTGACCAATGTCCTCAACTTCTTGAAGATTCAAAATATCGATATCGCGAAACTACAGGCGATGATGTTACTAGAGGAAGTCAAAGATAAACTTACCGAGATTGTCGATGAATGTCACAAGGAATCCGTGGCCAAAGAGAAAAAGGATGGATTCATTGTTTTAGAGCGTGGTTTTGCGTGAGTCCCACTCTTACAAGCTATGTTGTCAATATATGAGTCATTTCACTAGTACTGATCGAGTTCTTTTGACGCAGATCGATCCCATTGCCCGGAATCGATGTACCCTTCCACTCGCGGTATCTATGGGCTGGTGTGATGCCCTTCAGAGCATACCTATCGAAGAAGCTCAACCCCGCTCACCTCAATCCCGAATTGCTCATCGGCAAATACATTCCTAACTTGATTGCCGAGCCGTTTCAAATTTCAAGGGAATATGCCGACAGAATTTATCAACAAACTAACTCTCCAAGACTTGAGAAGGCTCTGAAGAACTGGACTGCAGATGGTTGGGACCTCCCTGAGAATCGTAACAAGCTAGGTTATGTCATCATTGTGGGACTCTTGGCGTACCAATTTGCATCGTAAGCCTTTCTTCTGTTTTTCTTTCTCTGACGCTCAGGAAGTGGCTCACGTCTCTTATGACTTGTGAACCTAGGCCTGTTCTTTGGGTTCAAACCCAAGACCGACTTTTCTCTCCCGAGGAATTCAACATCCAACGGTTGATCGAGTCTGGACCGTGTCCTACCCTGACTGGTATGGCTGCGCGAACATTGAAGCTCAAATTCGAGAAAAGCGATTTGGCGAGCAACATGACTCGTGAAATCCTTTGTATCTCGAAAAACTCAAAGGAGATCTACTACCAGTATGAAAATGAAGTGGAGGAGGCGCCTGAAGAGGCTCCTGCCGCTGCATCTTCATCTGCTGCTGCTCCTGGCGTCGCTGCCGCACCTGTTGCAGTTGCAGCTCCAGCTGCATCAGCTGGCCCAGCCGTCGCGGTACCTCGCGAACCTTTGAAAGCTGTCGAAACGCTCAGAGTCTTGATCGCTCAAGGTCTCAAAAAACCGTTGTCCGAGGTACCCCTCTCCAAGGCAATCAAGGACCTAGTCGGTGGCAAGTATACTTTGCAGAACGAGCTGCTCGGAAGCGCACGTGAGTGTTCCAAGAAGATTCATTTCCTTCGAGTTGAACTAATCAAAATGCACGTTTATCTCATCAGAGGCCGAATTCGGCTCCGCACCCGACAAAGCTGAAGAAATGCCACTCGACGAACTTGGTGCCGCACTCGGCTCAAGCTACAGTGGCACAATGGGTAAACATACGAGTCGTTTAGTTTCTCGTTTGATCGGTAGCAAGATGCCCGGTGGTTTCGGAATGTCTGGCGTCAAGTAGCTGATCACGTTCACATCGATAGTGTCTGGTGATCATGAACCGAGCCAACCCAGCGTTGTTAGATTATATGCAGTATTATCTCGACAACACTGACGCGTTGAAAGGAGAACGCTACCGACTCGCCAAGGATTTTGGGCAAATCCTTCTCAGCAATTGTCGCGAGGCTATCGGCACTGCACCCATGTATCGTGATAGTAAGTTAATCGATTTACATTTCCCAAACCCATCTACCTCAAAATCAACTTCAAAAGACGATAATAGTACTACGAACACACCACTTTTGAATTCATTTACAAATCTTACAAATCATTATCTTTCAGGTTTGATCGAAAGTACTTCAACTATCAGATCCAAAGAACAAACCATAGTAAGATGGCAAGAAGATTCAGAAATCAAACGATGTGCGATTTGTAATTCACAATTCAGTGTAAGAGTACGAAAACATCATTGTAGGTTATGTGGAAAAGTGATCTGTTTCTTACCGATTGATGAACCGATTCATGGAGGAGCTGGAGAAGAAGAAAAACAAACTCGAAAAGAAAGGTGTTCAAGTTTTATTAGATTCGAATGGGATAGTGAAGAATTAATCAAGTCTAGAACTATGACAAATGAATCGAATCCGGGTCACGAGAAATCATGGATCTTAAACCAAGATCAACATTATCAAGGAAGAATCATTGAATTGAATGACGAAGAGATCGGCATGAGTCCAGACGATCGACAAAGCGTCTTTGATATGATCCATAAAAAACCAGACCCGAATTCGGTTCCACACAATCCATTGATCTCTAAACCTAAAGGTGTAAGAGTCTGTCGAGAATGTTTAACGATCGTCTTGAGAAGACAATCGATGACTTATCCTATCGATCTTCCAGAGTACTTGAAACTTTATTCGATTCTGAAACAATTACAAGATGAAATCGAACGTAGTTTACCTGAGTTTCAAGAAATGATGATCAATTCAAAGTAAGTTAATCAGATCCCAATAAAAAATTTCCTAAAACCACTTCAATCATTAATCTTTTGGTTTCGTTTTTGAAAATCAGAAATCCCACTTCGAATCTAAACCCAAGTAAACCATTACCACCACTTCAATTAATGAACATGAGCAAAAGACTTTTACGGAACCTACAATCCTACGATTCGACCTCCAAAAGGTTATCCCACCTAACCCATCCCTCAAACTCGAACCATTCTCAAAACACATCAGAAGAAAGGTTAAAGAAAGCCATCATCACTCGTTCTGCATTCTTCTTACATGATCATATGGGATTAATCAGAAGTATTGGAGGGTTTGATGTGATTGAATGACCCAAGAGTTCTTCGAGTTCGATTACTAGTTTAACTAAACATGATAAGCCTTTTTCGGTTAGGTCTAAAGCTTTGATTCCGGCTGAAAGAATCGAATCTAACACAATCTCAAAAGAGAATGAAGTGTTACCTTTTAATTCGAATTCCAATTCGATTCAAACTAGTCTGAGTAATCAAACTAATCAAGACTTTAATCAATTAAATGTACTTTTAGAACAAGAAAGATTAGTTGAAGGCTACCTAGAAGAAGCTAATTCAAGAAGACAATTAGAAGATTCAGTAAGTTTAAAGATCAGTTTAATTGAATTGTAAGTCTTCTTTCCTTGGTCTTGAATTCCTTTGGTGTTTCTTTTTTTGGAAAGATAAATTGGTAAGAGATCGTTTTAGATTACTGAATTTCTTGGGTTCTTTTTGGTTTGATTTGGTTTTTTTTGGATCAGACGTGAAGAAATTAAAGTCTTAAAAGACAAACTGAAGAATCATTAATGAAAACCAAAAATGCCCCGAAGACTACAGTCACTGTGAAAGGTGACATTGTCTATGAAGAAGTCAACCGAACTGGTGTATCCCGACGCGAACGATATGTTGCGGAAATGGCCGCCGGTTCCAAAATCACCGCTGAGATGAATCTTGACAAAGTTCAGGAGTCGATTCAGAACCTTTACAAATTGGTCAAATCTCAGCCAACGATTGTGAAATCATAAATGGCCGCGATCCGATCCCTTTACGGCGAGGTAGTTGAGGGCCTGTCCCACAACGAGCGAGATCGACAGGGACCTGGTGAGTCAGTTCCTTCGACCTGTGCAGGTTGAACCAACGGCACTCTCTAGCGACAAAACACCTCTACATCATCTAAAGCGCAAAGTTGGTAACAAAATGGGTTTACAGCAGTAAATTGACCACCGTAAGTTTGTTTTAGTACGCGTTCACCTCGACAACTTCAACTAATTTATCAATGTATCAATCACTTTCAAAATCAGCTCTATCTGGATGTTTTGACGGAGATTGCCTCTGCTGGAACGACTTTCGAACATAAGAACGCACTCCTCACTGGGGTGGGTAAAGGTAGTATTGGTGTTGAAATCTTGAAGGGTCTCTTGAGTGGTGGTGCTCAAGTTGTCGTCACCACTTCGCGATACTCGCGTGCCACGGTTGAATATTAGCAAGCTATCTACCAAGAAGTGGGTTCGCGTGGTAGTTTGACTGTAGTGCCTTTCAACCAGGGATCTAAGCAAGATGTGGAAGGTAAGCAGTCTCATTACCAACCTATGAGGAAAAATCTGTTACTGAATGAGCTCGTTTCGATTGCAGCTTTGGTAGACTACATCTACTCCACCGATAAGGACAAAGGTTTAGGGTTAATGAAACATTTCGGAAACATTTCAAGTGCTAGTGGACCTCAAGATATGTTATATCGTTAAGCAAAGAAGATAGCTGATGCTAAGGCAATCAAAAATTTTGAACTTTCAATCACTGCAAGCTCAATTCATACTCAGTGTGTAAATCAAATCTGTTGAGTTTTACACATCTTGAAACTTTGGCATGCGGTCTTGTGACATTCTGATGAAGTTGCAATGACTTTTGTTGTGGCTTGTGCTTAATCCTTTCTGAACCATACTATATAAGCAAATTTTCTTTGTTCTGATTTATTCTTAAACCTGAAAGAAATTATTTTTTCAAAAAGAGAGTATGATTTATCTTGAGTCAATTCTGCTAACATAACCCTTGTAGACTACAAACACACCTAGATAAGTATTATCTATTTTTGATCTTTCAAAGTAGTTTTTTATACATTTATATTGTTTTGGACTCAAATCATGTAGATTTGGTTCTTAATCTCTTTGTATGAGTAATGTGATGCATTTGAAGAGAACTGGGTTGCCTATATATATTTGAGATTAGAGTCAAGTAATTGTCTGACAAAGAATGTTTGAGGCAAACCTCAACAAGACTGGTTAATTTCTCAAACTCTCAAAGGCCAGGTTCAGTCCCATTGGCTTCAGGTGCACTTGATTTGAAAGAGTTATCTGCCTAAAACTTGGACAATGAGGAAGATGATACAGGCCAAGATCTTGATGTTGAAAACTTCAACTAATTCAGAAAGGTTGTGCATTGAGTGGATGTCAGCAATGAGACTTGGACGTCCTGAATATTCCAAACAAAGCAGGAGCAGAGATCATATTTTGGACAATGGTCTCAATCACTGTACCTTGATCTTCATGCAAGACGTGGACTCCATCAATGATCAATACCCTGTCTTTCTAATGATTTGGTTTGGAAACGAGGCCCAATGAGAATGACAAAAGAAAAAGTATTGAAGGGCTTGAAGAGATATGAAAATACTAACAGACACGAGATCATCTTTGCCAGAGGCTTTCCTTGTCACTATGTCCCACTTCTCAGGTGTAGTTACAATCAAATGTGTAGCATTGACCTCTGCCTGGGTGAGTTACATATCACCTTGAGTTCAAAAATCCATATCCGAAGTCAGTTGAAATCAATACCATCAAGCACATCAAGTCATTGGAATTGACCAAATTTACCTGTCACCTCTTTGACTACCAAACTCCATCAACATGAACTTTTTCCCATCTTTCTCCCAATTTCAGCTGCAAGTAACATGAATGTTTTGGAATCATTACAGCTTTTACATATGGGTTGAGTTGAAATATGCTTATTGATAAAAGCAAGGATTCTTCATAAAGATACAGAGATAAGTATTGAAAATCAAACAATGTTGAATAATCTTAGTTTGAGGGTTTCAAGAAAGTTGATTGACCGTCTCTCAAATCCAAGTGATACCAAGTGTTACAGAACATTTGCGAGTAGTTGAATTGAGATTTGTTGAGACTTATGAAGAGAAGATATATGATATACAAATTTCTGCTTCTTGTACAAACTAGAAGGGTGTTAGTTTTTTTGAAAAGAAAGACATGTTTGGTATATTTTGCAATAATTCACGTGTAAAAAGTCAAAAATCTTACCCCTTTGTGAGCAAAAAGTGGACGATTGGATGCTTAAGTTGATTTGACTGATGTAAATCAAGGTGTCTTTAGTTCCTGCTGGATTGACCGAGTGAAAGTGAGAATTGCCGTGGAGTTGAGTTCATCTGTTCACCTGTCCATTGCTTCTCTTCCACAGATACTAGCCTGGCTGAAAAAAGATGTAGTGCCTCGTGTGCTCAAAAACGGACCAGACCTTCCATGGATAACGTTTTCAAAGGTTGGATTGATTCATGTATACCTCTAACCCACCTGTTCAACGCACAAGAAGTGTATACATGATGAGCTTGAATGTTGGATGTAAATTGTTCCTGGAAGGCAAGATAGAACTCAACCATGTCTGACGTGATGGTTCCGGCCTGTTCACGAAGCGTAGGAACAACCTTCCAGAGGGCGCAAGTGGAGGTACCTTAGATTTGTTTCATGGACGCCTTGCCGGGATAATTGACCATGACTAGTGCATGTTGTAAGAATCAGTGCAAGACTGGAACTTGTCCAGGATCTGTCAGAAGACCACATGCGCCTACAAATTAGAGACATTCCAATCTGGTCCATGCTTTGCCCAAAGGGCACCAAAATCCACTGCCTTCAACTAGCTTTCAAAGGAAAGATATAACCTTATGAGGAGGACACGCCAAGCTTGACTTTTCCTGGTTGCCGTGGGACCAACCATCATCAGACCATGCTGTATGTTCTGAATCTGGTAGAATTGGACCACTTTGTGACCCCATACATCGCCCACAACTAGATGGTGTTTGGCAGCCACTGCTGCAATGTGTTCCTTGAGCTTATCAAGATCGCTGGGAAGATATTCGACCCCAGGGAAAACGTCAGATAACAGACTATATAGGATAGATGACAAGAAGTTAGCAAAATATTCACTTATCGTCATGTCCCAACAAACTGGGATTGTTTTTTCACACACCTGGTCAACAATGATACACTGTCTGCCACCAGTTTGGGCATGAAGGTCTCTGTGACACTTTGAATCAAGATCTCCTGGTCGGCACAAGTATCGGAGACGTCTGTGGGTTCATCTGTTGGCTTCAGCTGAAGTCAACCACGTTTCAAATGTCCAGCGCTGGTTAGTACAGCTTTGAGGGCCTGAAGACCAAAATCATAATGCAGTCATGGGCTGAAAAAAGGTACAACTTTAGATGCTAAAGTTTCAGCAGTTTCCTTGAGAGAACAACATGACCTGAGCCATTAGCTCTTGATCAGGATGTGTCATGGCCATGCTTCAGAACAACTTTCTCAAATTATTGGGAAAGTTGGAACTCCGGCATACCCAAGGTTCATGGTGATAAAGATTCTATAAGGCCATCACAATGATTGTGTGAGTGTACTCCTTTGTCAGAGAATGAAGACAAACAAGAAAGTACTTACCCGGTATGCGGGTTAATCCTCAATGTCTTCCCAACTAATTCCACTTCGGCTTTAGGATTGATGGATGCAGCACTTAAACCTCGTCAAAACAACTCCGAGCTCCAACTTGACGGAGTCCCACAAAGATTTGACCCATGGCCTGAAAGTCAAACGTTTTGTCACAACAAAAGACTAGAATGAACCGTCCGAGCTGAACACCCAGTGCTTTGACCGACTCGGTTTTACCTTTGTGAAAAATGCATGTGATCAGTTCAGCATGTCGATCATTTTCTTTGAGGATAATTCAAGTCAAAATGCTTTGACAAATGCTTACCTGTACCTGCCGCTCCAAAAGGTGAACCTCCTAATCTGCTGTGGAGAGCCTGGGTGAGTGTAAGATAACAATGGTCCGTCACAGGTGTTTGAACAAGTCGGTCGGGTACGCCAAGATATTCAAAACCATAAGGAAACACAGCATTGGGCACTTGGATCGATAATCGCTCTGTAGGTTTCAACACAGATGCATCAAGGTAGAAGCGCATGTGATGAAGCCACTCAAAGTGAGTAACAGAGTCGACCCCATCCTTAATCAAGAGCCGGATCACATTCTTACTGTGTTGTGAGTTTGTGCTTGATCAACAAGATGTACGACAAAAAAAATAAAAGTGATAAGGATGGCAAGTCATGATAATAGTCAGAAAAGATAAAGATACGGTGGTAAACAGACTATTCAATCATCAAGAAAGAGATCATAGAAAGTCACTTACCACTTGGATGATAATTCTTTATCAAACCAATCATCATCTTCACCATCAAAATCAATACCCAAGAAACCAGGTGAAGCAGAAGCAGCAACAGTATCTGATTGGGCATCATAGCTCAAACTATTTGGAATATTAGGCAAAGAATGATATTCGGTTAGGCTATCATTCACTTCTTCGACGACTTGAAGTTCGTCTTGAGAATTGAGATCATATTCCGATATGCTAGATCCTAAGTTTTGTTCTTGATTCGAATTGGCATGCTGCAAAGACAACATTTCAAGTTTTGAGGGAAGGTGAAACAGACTATTCACGATGATCGATGAAGGTCAAGTCAAGAAATGAAGCTTGATTCCGAGATAGAGTGAGATCACGATGAAGTACAAAAAGAAAGGGATTGCAAGAGTAGTGAGAAGTGGTTGAGTTGCACGGTGCTTTGACAAGTGACCAGATATCAGTGGATGACAAGGCGCTATCAGCTCAAGAGACCTTGAAAAGGAACTTGGATCAATAAAAGGAGTCTGTTGAGCACGGTTGCTTAAGATGTGATAGATAGTTTTGATTGACAATGAAGTTGGTGAGCAAATGGAAAAGTCAAACTTGGCAAGAATAATTGACATGATGATCATCTCATGAAAGGTGATTGTGTTTTTTTTGAGCTGATTGCCATTGTTTGACAGTTCTTGAGATCAGTCGATTCAACTTGGTACTAGCTTGGCTAGTCAGATCTCTCAATTATTGAAGTCTGCTTGAGATAGAGTGCTTCTTTAGCTCGACAAACTTGACTGTGTTCATCTTTCAGCTGATTCACCCGAGTTTTGAAAAGGTTGATAGCATTCATGGCGGTATCTGGCTTTAGTTCTCCGCTTATTGGCTTTTCCTCTTCCCAATCAGCTCTTCAATCTTGCTCTGTACCACCTTGTCCTCCACTACAATTTTCATTTGTAAACCTCCTGGAAACATCTCTCTGGATAGTCAGCCTTTCTGAAAGGTGAAAACTTTCGAAATGACAATCAATAAAATGCAAGACTTGACATACCAATCTGCTCTTGAATAGCCAAATTTTTCCTTCCAACTCATTGAAAACATTCCACTCGCCCTCGATCTGGTCGACATACAACCAATTGGCTGGGAATTGATATGCTGTTGGTGTAAAGTTTTCTCACCGCTACCAAAGATCTTGATGTCAGGTTCCCATTTCTTGACTTTGCGATTCAGATCTTGTACAAAGATGATAAATGTGACCGCTTGGGCGGTTAAAGAAGTCTCGATTGAATGGTGTTCCAGATCATGCCTTGATTTGGTGATCACAGTATGAGTATCTCTCATGACAGCCCCCAATTTCGCACCAAATCTAACGAGTACATCTTTTTGCAACATGTCGTATTTTGCATCAACCTTTGCCTGAACCTGCTCGTAGTGAATCACACAAACACCAAAGTCTTGTAAACATTCCGAATTATCAAAAGTCGAACGAGTCTTTTGAATTTTGGACAGCGCCTGTTGCCAAGCCGATAATGATTCGCCCAGACGCCCGTAAGGATAGTCTGCCTCCAAATCCCAGAGTGACTGAAATTGCAGCCATTTGCAAAGGTAGCGTGAGATTTCTTTCCCCTTTTCTTTGATCAACGCATATGGTCGTTGAAGTTCCGCTTCACTAAATTTACCCATCTGATGACAGCCAATCAGTTTGATGCTGAAAAAGTAGGCTATTAGAACTTACTAATGAAAGATAAGTATTGTCAACCGTATCCTCGATTCGAAGTTTGAGTCCCAGGTCATATCTTTGACTTTGAATCCTTGGCAAATTACAAATTACGTCTATACAAATCATCTCAGGTAAGCCCTGGGGCACGGGCCAAGAAGACATCAAGAATATAATGAAGATGAAACGCATAAGACTTACCAAGCCATTGATGAAGTTGCTTGTACCAATTCGCCCGCGCAGCCTCGATCAGTGGGTCAAGATAGATAACTTGATTGCGGATCCTGATCTCGTGTGCGAGCGGAAGAACATGAAAGTTGGATTCCATGACCTGCATGGGATCACCAATCAGTCTCGGCTTTCAACTGAATGATCTGATCAACTTACCTTTGTGTTTGCTTTCCCTTCGTTTGTGCCTTTATTAGGAGGATTCGTGAGATTGAAGTGGACTGATTTCTTGGCAGTATTCACTGTGGTGTTTTCAACTTGACCCGTGGTAGTAGCTCGCTTGGCTTTTTCGTCAAAGTGCTGATTCCAGACTTGAATAACATTTTCGAGTCGACGTAAGAACACATTTTTGATTTTACAGTCGATCTCTTTAGTCCATTCTTGTAAGTTTACATGACCAATGACACTCAAGCCATCAATCTGTAACGATTTGTAAATGATGAAAAGTAACATGATCAGTCACCGATGTCTGACCGGAAAATTATGTAGGATGGGAGTAACTGAGACTGACCGTTTTCTGTATCTTGCTCAACAAGACAGCAAATACATTGGCTTTGTATTCACAAGACCCGAGCTCATTGATGACTTTTAGCAAGTCCTCATACATGATCAAAAGATCGTCGGTTTGTTCTTGAAAGATCCCAACCTTGTTGGCTAAATGTATCTCGATCTCCTCCACCTACGGTACCCAGTCGCGAATTAGCCAATCCGCCACTCACGGCACTGTCGAGCATCGTACCGACGAAATCCTCCCATCTCATATTCAAACCACGAGAGATCATTTGACACAGATTGTTACAATAATCAGCTACTAGATCTGCAATTCCACTTATATCGGTCACCTTGGCCAATGTCTGAGCATAAGTCCGGATGGATTCCATCAAGCTAACAGCGTCCGGATAGACTTTCTTGGCGTCCTTAGCACTCGAAGTAAGTTGATAAGGGACATTGTATCCTAGCCACGAGAGATTCCGAACTTCCTTGAAGATGACAATCACGTCCGGGTTAAAGGCAACAATCAACATATAAATCCCGGTTGACCTGTTCCTTTGGATTTCAAAAATCGGGCCATTGATACTCATATCTCGCTTGTTCCAGTCTTTGACCCACTGTTTGAAGATCGGTTTAGTGTCAAGTTTCTTGAGAAAATTGCTACTATCATTCGCAAGTCTTGAGCCTTTGGCGTAATTTTCCCATCCTACACCCAAGACATCTTCGACCCGACCCATGTACGTTAACATCTGGCGTTCAATTTGCCTAGCGCATATAATGGCTCCTGCAACCGGAGGAATGTCGCGCAGCTGAGACATTGGATAAGCCTCTGAGTGACGATACTAATCGCGGCCGAGCATATCAATCAGCTTCGCTGTACATAAAGAGTAACAGATCATATAAAGAGGTAATTACCTGGGTTCGAAACTTGTCGTGTAATCGACCAACATCTTCTTTCACCGACTCGATAAGCTAATACACACCGGAAGATATGGGACATCAATGACAGGAATAAGATAAGACAAAAGACGATTCAAGATGGAACTTACTTGAGTTTGATATTCCTGTATGGCTCCGCGAATTTTCGGCCGTACAAACAAAGCATTGGACTTGGAGAAAACCCTGATGATCGTGTGCAAAGACCAAGGCAAGGATAGAATATGTGAGTCTAAAGGCATAAGTTGAAAGAAGACGGGCCTGAGCTGACCGAAACATCTCCGTTGCATTTCGAGCTGATGGTAGCCTTGCGCGTAGCCTTGAGATAATCTGATTTTCTACGCGTGACACCTGTTCGTTGTAAGCCGCTTCAGCCGTGCTTCAAATCTGGGTACCATCTGTTTGAACGAAAAGCAAATTAGTACCATGCTGCAGAAGGCGAGATGTCTCGCAGATCAATCAAGGAGAAAACTTCTTACCAGGCGAAGTATCAAGAACCTCAACATTCTTAACACTCTTGTAAGCCGCTCTAGCTTCCTCCTCCATATCAAGGTCCATAAGTCCACTAATTTGCGTACCCTCAGTTCTCCGTTCGCCTGTCGGTCCCGTCGCGCCAAGATCAAATGTACTGATACCTTGATCACGCCCGGTCATGATCTTCAACTGTTTGTGTTGTTTTCTAAAACCTTTCAGGTACTCGCATCGTTCTTTGAGTTCAAGATGTGAGGCATTGATTTTGATCGGGATAAATTTTTCGTTCCTCTTGCATGTCAATTCCCTAGCGATTGTAGTGAAATCCTTAATTTGTTCTTCCCATGTTTGACAAACGGAAGCTGTAGCGGCCATAATTTTGGAGAAAGTCGAATATTCTGTATACATCAGCCTGTGACTTGTCAAAACCTTCAAGAGCGACTCGGTAAGATCTTTTGAGATCGCTTCCGCCAGAGGAAGAGCCCGTCGAATAGGATAAGGGCTATAGGTTGATCCAGGTAAATGAATAGTCAACTAGGTAATACGACACACCCTCAAAAGATGGGTTACATGACTTACGAAATTTTGAGCTTCTTGTTAATATGGCTAAATATCTGAACTAGTGACTCTTGAATCTTGCCGAGATCCGTAGCGGCCAAAAGTTCATTCAAGGGAAAATCATTCATGAGGACATTGTACTTGTGGACTAATGTCAACATATGGAGGCGTACGCACAAACATGAGCATCTTGAGCAAGCAAACTGAGCTTAAGCGGTGAATATGGTTTCAAGACTTACCGTTATCGCTAGCTTGTTTCAAGCCAGTGTCGGCCAAAAAAGAAACGGTTGTGTGATATCGCTTTGCTGTCTTGAGAATATCCAAAGTCAAAGCTGCGTGTATGCGAAGAGAGCTGTTAGTTTGAGCGAGAGGGAGAGAAGAAATGGCAGAACTCAACTAATAGGCTCCGATCGAAGCTGTTCCTCCACGCCTTGCAGGGCTTTCTCCATTGAAAGCCAAAAATTGATTTCCTGAGATGCAGTTCCAGATTCAACATCTCGTGATAGATTGGTGACGTTTTGAATTTCCTTGATCCAAGTGTTGACCAACGACTGCAACTTATTGAGGAATTTGTCATCTTTGAGTAAACTTGGATCGAGCAATTCTAACATGAAATGTATATTGTTACCATGTCTCATCGCGTCTGGATCTTCTCTTCGAGCGCGATCTATCACGTTGAGAATGCTGGGGTGAATAATTAAGGTGATTTCTGTAATTCTGACATTCTGTTGAAGATGTAATAGCGAAAGTTAGAGTTCTGCAAACTTCTTCTTCGCCATCGGGATACCCATCTTGGTATCACTATCTTTGTTCCCTGCCGATTTACTCGTAGCATTAGCCCCGGTCGATGGATTTGGACCATTAGAACTGCTGTTTGTGTTTCCAGCTTGTGATGAGTTAGAAGCTGCACCAGCAAAGTTACTGATACTTTGATTAGTGCCTCCATCACTTAGATTTTTGGAACGGTTCTTGTTACTGACGTAGGCATCAAAGAAAGGCGCGACGGCTAGATGTACCAAGTTATGAAGTTCCTCGTATGGATTTGAAGAGGCGGTAGCAGTAGTAGCAGTACTTGTAGGTTCTTTACTCGTGTCTTTGGTAAGTTCAGTGGTCGAAGAAGCAGTACTGACAATAGGAAGTTGATTGGATGCTGGACCAAAGAGGTTTAGAAAATGGAGTTGATAATCGAGAGGTCTAGAACAATCGAGAGTAGGTACACGTTTGATGAAAGCTAGAGTGGTGACGGTAGTTGAAGTATAATCGATTTCAGTCTTGAAGGTATAGACGAATGCGAATGTAGCATCTTGTTCAGTCCCTGTGACGACTTGATTTAAAGTTGATTGAGGGGCAAGTTGCTGTTCTCGAGTTTTGGAAAGGTAAGTTGCCCTACAATTTTGATTCGTTCCGATTTTATATAACCTATCAAGTGAATCGGGTGCAGTGAAGATGGGAGAAGAAGACAATTGATCTGGAGTTGCACTGATGATTAGAGGTAATAATTGATTTAAATAGTTTATCAGATGATCGATTGGAAATTGGTTAACAGCGAGTGAATGATCGACGAGTTTATTACTGATTCGATCGTCCGTGTTGGCTGATGTTGACATCTTTTTAGGACTAGACCTTGAAGAAATCTCGTGATACAAATTGTCCAGACCTCGCTAAGAGCCTGCTTCGAATGTTTCTTTCTCCAGACCTCGATATGATCCTACTTTGAATGTTTCTTTATTTTTGATGATTCCAATTCGATTGATATCGTCTTGAGTGAGATGATTATGAATTAAAGCTTTGATTGATTGATTTGATGATGATGGTGATCCTAAAATGATGAGTTGTTTGATGAGAAATCACGATCATCATCTTTTGGAAATCGAATGAAACACCAAATTGTAAAGGGCACCTAGCGCGGTGAAGATGTTCTTCGTACCCACGTCATATTCCCTGAGGCGGTGGATGGATCAGGTGTTTCTGCAGAGATTTTCAGTCACACTTACCGACTCATTGATGCATCCAAATCTGCTTTTCTCAAAGGTTGGGTAACATGCTCATCTACAAATTTCAAAGGAAGGCATCGTCAATAATTAAAGAGATCTCTCTCAACAACAACAAAAAGGCTTCTCACCCCTCCCGGCGTCAATACGTCTTTCACGATCCTCAATCCTGATTATGAAAGAAAAACAAGGTCAGTTTCCCGTGGCGGTATACCTCCATTGTCGATGCAATCTTACTGACATTGCATGAGCAGTAAGTGCAATTATGGGTACTTGTTCCCAATGATGCTCCTCCTCATGTCTCTAGATCAAAGAAGTTCCTCCAATCCACGTGTATATCAAAACCGGACACGGAAAACCATACACATCAGCAAAAAAAGTATCTGTGATCACATCACTAGTCACATTGTGGGCATTGAGACATCCATCAGTTGTGACTAAAAATTCACCAAGCCATAGACAACAATCCTGGCTGAACCAGTGACAGTTGTGACTAAAAATTCACCAAGCCATAGACAACAATCCTGGCTGAACCAGTGAGATTTGCATGTATTTTGAAAAATTGACATAGGATCAGCTTTTCAAGTGACAGTGATCAGAGATGCGAAGAGGATTGAACTGGTGCGCACCATGATCAATGGTGAGTTTTGCACAAGACAAGACAGTTGGGAGGAAGAGGGTTGATAGTGATAAACTTGAAAAGGAGATGGCCTTGGGATTTGTGTCCGAAGATTATGGGAGTGGTGTTATGCAAGAAGCTTGTTGATTTGATGCTATTTGATGGCTGGTAAACTTATGCAGTGAAGTGATCAAAAGAAAAGCTTGAGATGTACAGTGGGTAAGCCCGAGTACGTGTTCCGACCTGCCCTGCAAAATCCAATTTCACCTTTTGGGGCAATGTCGGGGCACTCAATCTGAATGTTTGAGACTGGCACCCAGACCATTAGGGGCTCTCAAACCTGACCCGGTTTCAAAAAACCCAGTTGACCCAGTTGACTTTGTGGCTGGGAGCTGTCAATAAATTTCAAATTTATATACAAAGTTACTGCCAAAAAGTCAACTGGGTCAACTGGGTTTTTGAAAACCGGGTCAGGTTTGAGAGCCCCTATTGAAAAGGTATTGCTTTGATGAATCTAGGAATATGGTTTTGGAGACCAAAAATATGATTTTACTCTTTTAGGGGTTTGGATTTTCGGACCTAGGCCTCAATTAGGTACCTAGCTAGCTACTTAGCAACGCACTAGGCCCATAATTTGATGAATATGGTGGCTCAAGTGGCAAATAACCTCCAAATTTGCCTTTTTTTGAAAAAAAAACCAAACTTTTGCAACCTAGCACCACCCCTCGACCTTCTTCTCCCGCCAAAAAAAGCAGAAAAAATGGCAAAAAAATCTCAAAAATTTCGGACCCAAAGCTCTATGCAGGGTGGCTTGGAACACGTACTCGGGTTTACCCACTGTATTATCGAGATTTATGTAAATAAGATGATGAGTGATGAGATTATAAGAATGATGATGAAAAGAAAGTATTCGAGATGGATGTAATACAAGGGAAAATACACAAGCACCCAATATGTTCCTTGTAATAAGGGAAGATACATGCAAAGATGGCTACATAGGCCAAATGCCCTGAAGGCCGGTATACACCACAAACAAGGCGCTTCAGCCATTTCTTGGTTGGTTGCACATGGGCATGCACTTTCAAAAGTCCGTCATAATTCTGTCACGGAATGTTAATTTGTTTTCAGAACATCGAAATTCCGTCCCAATTCTGTCACGGGATTTTGATTTTTTTGGTAATCAAAATTCTGGACAAAAAAAATCAAAATTCCTGACGGAATTGCAACATTTGTTTGTAGTGCCCAATGAACCTCAACCCAGCCCTGTGCCAGCAACGCAACGCGCCGCAGCACACCCGTTTTTTGATGCGTTGCTCCGCAACACGCAACACCAACAAGCAGCAGACGCTGCGTTGCGGGAAGTACCGCAACAACAAAAGTCAAGGCTAGGCTGCGTGGCGCCTTGACAGTTGCGCAACGCAACAGGCGCAACAGCGCCAAAAAAACATCAATTTGGGGCAGCAACGCAACAAACGTTGTTGCGGCCCAAAAAAAACACCCATCTGAGTGATCTTGTTGCGCTGCGGGTCAGGCCGCAACCTGAAAATTGATTCTATGGTGCGGTGCGGTCAGAAAAACCGCAACGCAACCGCAGCGCAGCACGCAACACCTGCGTTGCTGGCCCAGGGTTGCTCAACCTCAGCCATGATTATAGGCCAAGGTTGACAGAGAGTTACATAACTTAGAAACTCTAAGTTGAGAACTCTGAAATATGTATTCAGGTGATTAGTAAGTAAGATGACATACTAATAAATACATATAGAATTCTTACTGTTACGTAAGAAACTCTGAGAATGGATTGCCAGTCTTAACTAAAGAACAGCTTAAGGCCTAGTTCCATGACTGAGTTTCCAGCGACTTAGGTATAAACCCATACAGCAAGCAATACACATAGCCCGCTAGAGAGGGGAAAAGTTTGCGCATCCCAGACTCCACTGGTGCCAAACTCACCCCCCTCAAGTAGTTTATACCGCTCAGCTGAACTAGTCATAGACAATCCAACCTCATGGGTCAGAAAGAATTCAATTTCCACCCACCCACCCAGCTGGGTGAGAGATCGGCGTTGACGTCAGTGGCAAATTAAACCGTGACGCAAAAGTCAGCCGATCCCTTGCCCGGGCTCCCCCAATGAACCTCAACCTCAGCCATGATTATAGGCCAAGGTTGAGAGAGAGTTACATAACTTAGAAACTCTAAGTTAAGAGCTCTGAAATATGTATTCAGGTGATTAGTAAGTAAGATGAAATACTAATAAATACATATAGAATTCTTACCGTAAAGTAAGAAACTCTGAGAATAGACTCACACTGTCTACAGATATGAGAACCCGGAGATAGCTTTGAACACTGGAATGCTTCTGAAAGAAATGTTGAGGCATGAAGTCATGGCTAAAATTTTACTCTATTCAGATTGGTTTGTCTATCACTATATTCTATATTGGTCTACTTGAAGCTTATCAGTTTGGTTTTGGATCAGATTATATGATCCTCCTCAATATAGTGAGCAAACCACTTTGGGAATGGCTTGTGATGCAATTTCAAGTTGCAAAGCGTGTTGAACACGTCATAAACCAATGGTCTCAGCCTTTCTTGAAGACAACAATCAATTTTTGTTTCTCTACTTACTTAACTAATCCACTTTGGCTCTTTTTAATCCAGTTCTTTGCAATACATTCTTCTCTGATCCAATCAACAAATTACGTTACAGTATGACAATTGATTGGGTAATTAGGCAAAATCCGCTTCGACAGGTCAAATTATAATGTGATGAATAAATATGTTTCAAACAAAGATAACTTGAAAATTTTGATGAAATTCTTAGAAGATAGATCTGAAAACATTCAATTCAAAGCGTTTCATGTCTTCAACGTTCAATCCTTTTGATTCAAATTAACTCAACAGAGCTTATCTGCAGGATTCTATTACTCAATCACAGTTTGTTGACTCATCATTTGCAAAAGTCTCTCAATATAACTCGCTTTATCATCAATTCAAACCTTGTGTTTCTGACTTGATTGAACTATATATACACAAGCATGCAGAAGAGTATCAACAAAATATGAAACAACTCTCAACTTAGTAGGAGATGAATTAGCTTCACTCAATGCATTTTAATCTTAATACACCGGGTCTGTGGTCAGTTTATGACTTCTTTGAACTGACAATTGGAAAGTTTATACTGGGGATCATCAATTCGGGGTTTCAACAGATGAATTGTCAAGCTGAGGTGTTTTGAAGGTGCCAGGCAAAGAGATCCATTGGAATCTGTGTTCTTCATACTTATTGACTATGTTGACCTGATTCTACCTGTAAATTGTTTGTCAAAGATGAGGGTCACAATATTTGGAAAAAAAATGTTCTTGAAGGCTTTCAATGCAGCATTACTCCATCATGCATGCTAAAGTGAATTCAAATCTGATTTCCTTACACTGTGTATGAACAGAAAAGTGAGAGAATCCAAGGAACTCGACACCTGGTAAAAGCCAGTAAACGGGCTAAGTCCTTCTGGTTCTGAACACCAAGGACAACAATACTACACACCTGGTAAAAGCCAGTAAACGGGCTAAGTCCTTCTGGTTCTGAACACCAAGGACAACAATACTACACACCTATTAAAGGTGAGAGGGACAAGATTCAATACGCCTAATTTTCCTCAGTGGACTGATAATTTCATTGATCATAACTTAAACAACAGACCTGGTAAAAGCCAGTAAACGGGCTAAGTCCTTCTGGTTCTGAACACCAAGGACAACAATACTACACACCTATTAAAGGTGAGAGGGACAAGATTCAATACGCCTAATTTTCCTCAGTGGACTGATAATTTCATTGATCATAACTTAAACAACAGACCTGGTAAAAGCCAGTAAACGGGCTAAGTCCTTCTGGTTCTGAACACCAAGGACAACAATACTACACACCTATTAAAGGTGAGAGGGACAAGATTCAATCTATACAAAAGGAGATAACAGAAACAAGAACAATTGATGAATAAGGTTGATATGAATGAATTGAATATAATGTTAGAGAAAAGAACTCACACGCCTAATTTTCCTCAGTGGACTGATGAGGAAAAAGAGGTGTGCGCGAAGTGGCGATCAGTATGAACTAAGTTGAGTGATACAATGATGATACAGCTAAATTGTAATTAGGTTTGAGGTTTTGTATCGGTGAATTTGTATTGGTGATCATATTGTATCGGTGACTGTATGGTTTTGGTGAGGTATGTGTTTGTCGTGATTGAAATAAATGATATATCTTGACAAAAAGAACATATTCAAATTTGACATTTGTATACTCCAGCAGATCACTTGCAAAGTTGTCCCTATGTCTGACATGTGTGGATTCTAAAGTCACTTATTCATATTGAGATTTATCAAACCAAATAGTTCACCAGCCAGTGAAGTTATTCATGAAGCTCAACATTTGCTGATTCATATGAATTATGTTGAAGTGATCTTTTGAAGAGTCTATACAAGCCCAATCATAATTTGTATTGTATCGCATGGAAGACACTCATGCCATCCACATAATTTGAGATGTTGAAAGCGGTGCCCGCCACTGATGTGCTAGTTTGATTTAAATTTGTCATTATTGAAGATGTTTTATTTCTGATGCAATTGATGATCATTGATACACAAAAGGTTCAATGATATTGAAAAACAAATCACATCGAAAAATTGCCTGAGTCTCTTTAGTTTGAATGTTTAAGTCAAAAAGTGAATGATGTTGTGGCGTTGAGGGGAGGGAAATTCCACTGGTTTGACCATCATTGAAGTCGATGACCTCCTTTAACAGGGGGCACAAAGTGCTATTGTGATTGATCACGCTGAATAGTGATCACATACCTTCTACATACCTTTTACCGAATGTTCCCAAAGAACAAAGTGTTATGTGATTTTACATATACACACACAATGAGAAAATTTCTCACTGTGATGTAAGAGTCACATTAAATTAGGCCCTTGCTATTTGCAGCCCACACAAAATCCATGTAGGCGCTGCCAAAACAGCGCCTACATGAAGGTTTCCCACGAAAAAGCGCCTACATTTATGATGTAGGCGCTTTTTCCTTTTTCAAATGACGCCTACAGGCTGAAAAACCAATGTAGGCGTCATTTGTGTACGCCTACATTCTAAAAATGAAATGTAGACGTAAATTTGAAGTGCCTACATTGTGTAGGCGTCACGAAAATGTGCCTACATCTTTTTTTTGACTGTAGGCGTATTTTTTGTGCGCCTACATATGTTAATACCAACACCCTTATAATTTAATACCAACACCCTTATAATTTAATTCCAACACCCTTATGATTTAATTCCAACACCCTTATAATTAATTAAAAGACCCTTATAATTTTATAATCAAATGCACACTCTTACATTTAATACCCTTATCATTTAATACCAACACCCTTATAATTAATCTCACCACCCTTATAATTGATCTCACCACCCTTATAATTAATCTCACCACCCTTGAAATTTAATACCAACACCCTTATATATTATTACCAGCACCCTTATAGATTTGCATTCACACGTGTATAAGACCCTTATAACTAACTTAAGCACCTACATGGAAAAAACAATGTAGGCGCTCAAAAAAAGTGCCTACATTTTATTTTTAGAATGTAGGCACTTGAAAATAGCGCCTACATCTTATTTTTAGAATGTAGGCGTACACAAATGACGCCTACATTGGTTTTTCAGCCTGTAGGCGTCATTTGAAAAAGGAAAAAGCGCCTACATCATAAATGTAGGCGCTTTTTCGTGGGAAACCTTCATGTAAGCGCTGTTTTGGCAGCGCCTACATGGATTTCATGTGGGCTGCAAATAGCAACAGCCTTAAATTATTAATGCGACTTTTTTTTACCAAAGTGGGTGGTATATATCTAACTTAACTAAGTCCCACAGTCAGAAACTTCTTCCTCACGAGCTTGGGTGTCTGGTGAGGGACTTAGGACTAATTGGGCTTCCCTGGTGGTCGAGCAGGACTGCTTAAATTTGAGTTTGGCGTGGAGACTTTGTCACCACCTCAAAAAGTCCCACTTCCACTCAATCAACCCCTGTTTGATTTGTAACTGGAGATACTTCAAGAAAGTCCCAACACATCTGTCTATTCAGAATTCCTTTAACTTTTTTCTGAGCATCCACAAAAAAGAACAGATGTTTTTGGAATTTGAAATTTGGTTGGTGGCAGTGACTGTATTTTTGAAACAAAAGTTATAATCAAACACAATCCTCTTTCAATGCAAGAGGACTGCCATTTGATCCAGCAGCTGTGGTCAAAGATCAAAGGTGTACATTTCATTCTCCAGAAGATTTTGGTCTCCTCAGAAAATTCGTAGCATCCAAACTACAAAAGATAGGCAGCTGTAAAGCTGAATGGGGGTTTGGGTTCCTGCTTGACCACCAAAAGTATGTGATTAGTCGCAAGTCCCTCCCCAGGGCACCAAGCTTGCAAGGTTAAGAGAGCCCTGCGGTAGATTTGGACTTGTGTTAAGTTAGAGTATATATGAGAAAACCTGTGGGGTGTGTCTTTTTGTGGTAGGTTCACTTCCAAGAAAGCATTTGGTGATACATGCTCTCACGTAAAATTCTTCTTGTGGCTTATTTGCCCCACCTCTTCCTCCTCTCCGTGTTCCTCTCGTTCCTCTGTTATTTTGCCTCATTGGGACTGATGTACTCTGTTGGCTGCTTGCACTTGTGCTTGCGTACCCCAGATTGTTCATATGGTTTTGAGACTGGAAACCAAAATGGAGGGCTGGTGGGCTGTGTTGTACTGATTGGAACATGCTGTTATACGGGTTTTTGTGTGGCGTAGGTGTATACGGGTTGATACCATGTTGCATTCCTCTGGGTGGTCTAGGTGCTCTTCTCCTCTTTTGAAAGAGATAGTTGATGTCTTTTGACCCCGATTGTGCGACTGTTGCTGACAGTTGGTCTCTGTTTTCTCAGGTGACTACATCAGTATGTTGTTTCTTTAAGTTATTTCTAAGTCTTTTACCTACATTCGTTGACCTGTTTCTGGGTGTTTAAACTCGGATTTTCCACCTTTTGCATATGGATTAGTTTCTCCTCTGTTTGCCTTGCCAAAGTTTAAGGACTTGTTTTTTGCCTTGTCTTCATATTTCTTCATAAAGGTTCCAATGTCCTTTATTGGCTCTTTTTCTTCTCTTTCAACAAAGATGTGTCTTCTGCATAAGATGTCATATTGTAGAGCTGTCATCCAACACTCTGTTGCACGTCTAATTTGATCATTACTTTCAGCCTCTTTGTTATCTGTGTTGACTTAAATGTTTTGCTTACTTTACTTGTTTAATGTTTTTAATGTGGTAACTTATCCTCCCGGCCACGCCGTGTTGATTGTGCATTATCAAGTATTGTTTAAACAGACTGATGTTTTCTGTCCATTCACCGTAAGTCATCTTGAATTCTGAAGGTGCGTCTAAACCTTTATTCTTGGAGGTTTTCAAAGAGGACAAGTGGTGTTGTTTTTTGTATTCTTCATTTTTGGCTAAGGCGAATCTCTGATCGAAAACTGTCAAGGGGACTGAAGAGTGGAATTTCTTCATCTGCTTCCTCCAATAAGGTTGTAGTTGGATTGAACCAAGCCTGGCTCGCAGTGCTGCGCAGCACTGAAAACACTGAAATTGGCAGTGTAACTTTTTTTGGTGGCAGGCAAAATGGGTAGCTTCAATGCAAGCGGAGGCAGGATTCTCCGTGGATTCAGTAGTTGAAAGCGTAGTTTTTTTCCGCACTGTTTTGCAGCATTTCAGGTGAAAAAATCGTTTTTTCCTCTTCACAACTACTTTGAATAAATAGAAAAAAAGAAAGTGCACATGTGGTTTGTAGTACAAAGACTGTGATCAATTAGTATTTTGTCAAGCTTATCTAAATGATAGAAAGTTACCAGGTGAACTACATGCTAAAGTTCAGCTCATTTAGCATGGTAAGAAATCACTACAATGGTTTTACAAGAAGCTTGATCAAGAAAGGATTGAGTTAAAAAGATCCAAGCAAATGTTATTAATCCACCCACAAGTTTATATTGATTAAAGATCAAGAACTTGATCAAGTTCAAGATTATTTGATAGATATATTAATGATCATCAAGAATATACAGTTACTATTCATTGAACCAAAAAACAATTTGATTGAAAATGCAAAGACTAATGATTCTGCTTCTTAAATTCTTCTAAAGTGAAGTGTTGTGCCATTAAAACTGTTAATTTTGCATAGATCAAGATAGCAGTTTTGATTTTACATTTGCCTGATACACCGATGAACCCAGATAGAATAAAAATACAAGAAATAAAAAAGAATTGATACAAAGTTTACTTGATGAATCTGTTGTTGAAAGGTGCATCTTGAAGGAATGATTTCCTTACTTTCTTATGGGTTTAATGCCTACTGATTTTTCACGTTTATAAAAGATATGAATCCTTTAATCTGTATCAGGTTCTTGTGTAACAAAATTTAGAATTGATTGTCTGTTCAAGTTAAATCATCCATTTGTTTTGGTAAAAATAAAGGTCAATCAGAAATTCTTTTCAGGTTGAAGAAACTGTTTTTTGCAGTTTTCTTTTTTTGAGGGAGAGAGGTTTGTTACTCTACTATTGCACTTGAAGGTTTTTGGATTCTGAAATTGTTTAATGAAATTTTGATTCCATCTGACTTTTTATCCCTTGAGTTTTGTTTGATGTGAAAAATGGAGAGATAGAATCAGTTCAAGTGAGGTTTTCTACGATTTCTTTTCTGGAAGAAGTAAAGAAACTAACTCTATCTCTGACTAATTGTTTGAACATACAATCAACTCAATGCAATTAACACCCAAACCGCACCGCAACATATTTCAGTTGCATTGTGATTTCGGTGCGATTTAAGGGCCTAAACGCAACCAAAATATGATTGTGGTGCTCTCGCACCAAAAAATTATGGTGGAACACGTAGTTTTGGTTCAACCAAAACAAAACCAGACCAGGTGAACCGCAACTTGCAACGAAACAAAACATATTTTGGATGGTTGCAAGTTTGTGAGAGGCGAGAGGAATGTCCTTTCCCATCTGCACTGGGTGGTCTGCCATGTACTACAATGACCTTTGTTAAATGACAGCATCAAGAGTATTCATTGTTCAGAAGCCAAAGACGGAAGACAAGACCAAAACAAGTTCATATAGCCAAAAACACGACTGAATTGTTCTATCGTTGATCCAATTTTTTGTTTTTGAAGCGCCAGAATTGTAACTAGTTTCTCAACTCAATAGATTCACCTAGACTCAAAAACTGATGAAGTTGAATGGTTTCCTTACCTATCTCAACCACCATCACTTCTTGAACTATGCTTTTCATGTCGATCAATACTCTGATCAAATTCCATCAAAAGTCTTATATCTGTCATTCTTGTCATTCTACGAGCGTGCCAATTTGATTGGTTCAGGAATCAGATGCATCATGAGTTGTACATCTCTTGATCTACATATCTCTATTGCTAGAAGACTCTCGGAATGAATCCAAAGCATCTTTTTTATCAACAAACAAACACCCAGCGATCTGGTGTTTTTCCAACTCAATCATCAATCTTAACTATGTATGAGGTTATGACACTCCATATGTAGTGCTTTCATGGAGCATCTATTCCTGCTAGTCCTTGCTAGTCTTTCTTGCTGCACTCAATAAATCATTGTGTACAGTCTTGCTTTGTCATACCTTAGAAGATAGTCAAAGAATACCAGAACGGATGACATTACGCTGGAAAGCTTTTGGACAAGCAAAATCCAAAATAAATTTTGGTTTTGATTTGATTGCGTTTTGAATTGCGGTTTGTCAATTGCGGTTGGTTTCGTTTTGGTAGGGTTGCAACGCAACGAAATATACCGAGATTTTGGTGTGTTTTGTTGCGAATTGGGTGTTGATGCAATCTTGAAACTTCCCAATCTTCTTATTGATATCATTTAACTCTTGAAGCTGTGGAGTTTAACGTACTGTAGTCAATGGAGTGAGAGACTAAAGGGGTGTCGATTTTGGAAGGGTTTTGGATTGAATAAATCGATGAGTATTGAGTGATGTGGTTTAATGAATAGTGTGTGGTTGACAATAGTGGAATGTTGGCTGACCCAGCTCCAGTAGCTGGGAGTGTAGTTGAAAAAAACCCTGACACCAAATTCGGAGCAAAAGACACTGCGCACGTGGTTTTGACTATCCAGGTAGTTAAACGGCAGCGCCTGGCGCTGCGCGTTTTTTTCTACACTGCGAGGCAGGCTTGATTAGACTGGAATTTGGTTCAACACCTATTTCTACTTGAATTCCTTTTGTCTTACTTCTTTTTCTCTTTTTCTTTTCTTTGAAGAAGTCTTCTTCTTGCTCTTGCTTAATTTGGATGGTTCTACCTTTGCCATCTTTTTGAGTTTCTTAATCTGGCTTTTTGCATTCGCTAGTTCTTTTCTCAGTTGCAGCTTTCTTTTTTGTTTTCAATCTGTAATCAATCAAACAGAGTTTCAGCAATTTTGTTTGTGTTCTTTAAATGTTATTTCCGACTCTGATGTATATAATTTTTGTAGATTATTAACGCCGGTGGACCTCTTACTGTCTTGCAGGTATTTCATCTTCTGCGCTCTTTGCAGGTATTTGATCATCTGTGCCTTGTAGGCTGGCCATGTAGGCAGAGTTTTCATAAACCTCTCTTCCCGTTTAACGGGGCGCTCTACCTTTGGGACCCAAGGTCTTTTGATTGTATAGGATTTGGGAGTGTTTGAATGAATACAGGAAGGGGTTCTTTTATTGGGTGTGAAGGAATGAAGAAAGAAATTTAAAAAAGGAATGAAAGGGTTGTTGGAAAGAGGTAAAGGAATGAGAGTGTTGTGTGGAAGAAGACTGAGGTATGGAAGGTTTGGAAGAGAGGTACTATAGTATTTTGAAGTTCCTGATAGTTTCTTTTTCATAAACTCAAATTGTTCTTACCTTTCTTTGACTTCTTTCCCGAATTGTCTGATTTGTCTTCCAACTCTGAACTTTCATTGCTACTTTCTGAGTCTGATTCTGAAGTTGAAGAGGAATTGTCTGTATCTTCACTACTTTCTCCTCTGCTGTTTGAAGATCCTAAGGAAGGTGAGGAGTGTCTTTGCTTCTTCTGTTCTTGTCTTGAGGTAAGTTCTTCCTCCGGGTTTTCTGAGACGTTATCACCGTTTGAGTTCTCTTCCTTGCCGTCTGACGATGAACCTGCATCTAAGAATTTGTTTGGGAATTCATCTACATCTGAAGAAGAGTTCTGAGTGCTTTCTTTAGGAATTCAAACTTGCGTATTTGGTATTACAACTGATGGAAATGGTAATGGAACATGTCCAATGTAGGTTTGTGGTGGTTTGCCAGTGACTTTTGGTTTGCAGATAGGGTTTGAGCTGTATTGGTTAGGGAATTTACTGGTTCTACTCTGTTGATATCTTCATAGTTCAGTACTTGGCCTTCTTCTGTCAAGGTTCCCGTCAATCTTACTCCCAATGGGCTTGCTTCTTGATTGTTGATGTTGTTCATTTCTACCATTTGTTCTTCATCTGTGTCTAAACCTTGCACTCTTATACTAGCTCTGATTGCTCTTGATGCTGCTGTCTTGTTTCTTTGTCCGTTATTTATCATATGTACTGCTTGTGTCGATTCTAGCTATTTCACCTTGGGCAGTAGGACGATTTTGAACCAACAATAATGACTCTTGGAATTTTTAAATAGGTGGATAGAGGAATTAAAGAAACTAGTTAAATGGCGAGTAATAACTGAGTGGTGAAAGGGAATAGATAATTAGATAAGTGTTTATTTATGATTATGATTTTTTGGGATTTTTAGTTTTCTAGGAATTGAAATGATTTTTGGTTAATAGTTTGATGCTGCAATTAATTAGTTTATAAATAATTGTTAGTTAATAATTTGATGCTGTAATTGATAAGTTTTATTGATAATAATAAGGATTTGAAAAGATAGATAGTATGATGGGATTTACTAGATGGAATCCTTTCAGAGTGTGAGGGAATCTGGGGCAGCGCAGAGCTAGAGTCATCTCCTTTGTATACAGTGACGACTCTTTTCCGTCAGTGCGCTGAAGTGCCCAGAGTCATTTGACATGACTCTTCTGGCACTACCTTCTCACATCTATTTCCCTTTCTGTCATACTCTCTACACAAAGTTACTTGTGTCATGGACTAGCCTTGCATTTTGTGCCTCAGGCAAGGAGCAAACCATTTGCAAAAAGACCAACACAACAATCTAAAAGTCTACATATACCCCCAACTGCAAAAAAGTCCTTCACCAAGAGTTGCCATGTACAAGGTCATACAAGTTTGAAAAATCAATGCAATTTCCTCATCGTCATCTAAGGCATTGTGAAGTACTCTAGACCTTCTCAAACGTGCCTTGAGGATGGAGAACACTTTCTCAATAGGGTTGAGGTCCGGGAGGTAAGCCGGGAGGTATACCAAATGCACACCTCAAGCCTCGCAGAGCTCAGCCACACAACCGTTGTGGTGAATTGGTACGTTGTTCATCAAGAGGACAATGTTCCAGGCTGGCCACGGATTCATAGCCGGTAACTGGAGCAATTGAAAAACAGATTGGCATCAATGTGTTGTATCAGGAGACAAAAATATGCACGCAAAGTGCTTACCAGTCCATGCTCAAGATACTCCTCAAAATTAATCCTGGAGTATCCTCCCGACTGAATCTTGCACACCACCACACTGTCTGTTGATATTGCGGGTAAGACAGACCAACAAGTGGCTGTAGTGGGGCGAGGGAGACTGGAGGTTTGTTGCCCAATGGGGGCATGAGCATAATCGTGATGCAAACGTTGTTTGGTTATAGCAGTTTCATCTAGGCAAAAGGAAACAAGTCAGATACGGATAGGTCATGTTCATGAAAGGAAATTGCCTACTGGTGAACACTAAACATCAAGGGTCTATCTCTTGAATTGCCTGTATATACGCTCCCGCACCGCCATGGATTGACTCAGATGGACCGTTTGAGCTTCCTTGCGGGTCCAAGCCAAACGGTGACAGAGCTCATTTGATAGAGTCATAGTCGTGACTTCAAGTCCAAAATGCTCAAAGATTTTTGACTGAAGCTCATCTAGGTAGAGCATGGGGTCAAGTTCAAGGGCCTCAAGGACAAACTGACATTCTTCTGGACCTATAGACATTGCTGGGCCTTGATCCATGTGGTCCATTGGGTTGACAACCACTGCTCAAGTGGCCAAGTACAGGCTGTACCATTGTCAGACTGAGGCAAGGAACAACTGGATACCAAGAGTCTTCACAATCTCTCAAAAGGTCAGTCCCCAAAGAACCATCCATACAACCACAAGCTTGACTTTGGGGCTGTGGGTGATGGGCATCTGAATGATGGTTGGAAAGTACATTGGATCAATTAGTGAAAAGGAGTCATGAATATGGGGAAAGGAAAGACTGACATACGTGGAATTGATTCAAACCGGACCAAAGAAACCGGGGATAACACCACCCAAGCTACCTGATGGACAAAGGGAAAAACAGGAAAACGGAGGGAGGAGGGAAGAGAGGAAGACCACGAGGGTTTTTTTTCTGTGAGCCAATTGATTTTGCTTGCTGTGACAGGTACCTGTCACTATGGGCTTCTATCAATGAACTGTCAAAATGAATAGAGAGGCCATTATGACAGGTCACTCAACCTGTCACTACAGTGAGATTCCTTTATAAGCATGGTGATGGTTGCACCAAATCCCATGCTAATATAAAAAATGCTTCTTATCGGAACAGACCTAATAGCCTATAGGAGCATAAAACGTGCTCAAAATTATGCTATGCTTGAATGTCATGCTTGGCACTTGCAACTATTGAAAAATATGTACTACAGAAACCTAGAAGCAAAAATTGACAGACAGTTTTTCAATTGATCTTGGCTTTTCTACTCAATGCAGCCTAATTTACTCCACTTCACCTACCTTTCTTCTCCTTTCTTGCATCACATAGAAGCATAAACACGTGAAAAAATCATGTTATGCTTCTTTTTTCATGCTTCACATGAAATTATACAAGCATATCAGTCAAAACCTGAAGCATATGCTTAAAATGCTTATAAATCCGAATTTACTGCCCACCAAAAATGGTCACATCATTTTTGATGCTTATCAAAAAATATGCTTGTAAAGGCAATGCTTAAAAAGGAATCCCACTGTATGAGCTTCTATCCCAGAAATGTCAAAATGAATAGAGAGGCCATTATGACAGTTCACTCACGACCTGTCACGGAAGCAAATTTGAAATCAAAATTTTAAACCTTTTGGACATGGTTCCCCAACGGTCAGATGAAGCAAAATATGCCAAAAAACTTTTTAGTACAAGCTGAATATCTACAACAGTGTAAACCACACACAGACTTGATGGACGCGTGTGGATGTGGATGGCTAGGAGAAGCTGACTCAGTCAGGCTCGTAAGAGTGTCCATGTGCGAGTCTCATAACATAGAGTATGGCTCTGAGTAGCCGCTGGTGTAAGTTTGGGCTCAAAAAACATGCAAACTTCCAAGTACTTGCACAGAATCAAGTACAGATATCCCATGTCAACTAAAGAACGCTGAGGAGAATAATCTTTCCATGACATTTTCGCAAACCGGGCTACACAACTTTCATTTACAGGAACCGACAAAATAAAAAATTAGTAGGAACAAGACTACACATTCTTCTTCGCGGTGGTGATTGGCTGTGTACAGCCTTTGCAAACTACGAGAACCAATTGAAAACCCAACAAGGTTGATGCATTAGGCAACATTGCTATGACGGCTCTGGTGATTAATAGCCTGAAACTCACCTGGCGGGGAGACTAGCTTCTCGCATTCATAGGCCGCAAACGTGGGGGATGTTTGATGACAGGCTTCAAATTTCGTCGCAGATCAAAGGATTCAAGATGGAATCAGTCATTGAATCAAAGTTCACGATAAATTGTATGATGCAGGTTGCCGTCCATGTCACTCACAAATCTTGCCTTTGGGTACAAAATTGCCTGCCGCATCGGTCTCCAGTTGAAACCAGTCACAGGGTTGAACACCATTTTCTTTGCTCGGTTCCACGGCTCTCTTGTGGCCGGATGATCTTTTAGTTGGATTTTTGAGAACACCGGGCAAAAATCGGCATTTGGAAGCATATACACGTGTGGCTTCTAAAAAAGAAAGAAGGTGTAAGATTGCATCTTTCATTTTCAAGCGACACAAAGCGCCGACAGCTCACCCTGGGTTTCAGTGCCAATTTGGCATGAGGTACAAGCGTTGTACACGCCATTCAAATCTATACAATCTGATAGTTTCATCATGAGATGGAGAGAATGAAGATTAGTCACTTGAACTCTGGATGGATGTTTAGGAATCGGTTTACCAGAGTAATCGGCTTGGCGCTGCCATTGCGCCTTGCAAGTCGCCGTGGTTGAGTCGCTGACGGCTGTTGGCTTGGTGCTTTGAGCGGAGGTGATCGGAGATGAGCACAGGGATAGAGCGAGGAAAAGCAAGACAATGGTGCTGGTATGAATTCTAAACATCGTGACTTGGAGATTGATCTACTAAGTTTTCACGAAGCTCTTATGTATACAAAATGAGGTGATGTCAGTGATGAGTGTTTGAACACGACGAATCGTCCACCAAATGGAGACAGGTGAGTGTTTGTACGACAAAGAAAGGCTATAAACAAGATAAACGAAATACTGCAGTGAGAGAGCGATGGTTTGAGGCTCTTTACTCTTTTGAATATGGCAAGGTCCTTCTTGTAGTGCCCCCACAGAACGCTAACGCTAAGCGAACAGAACAGAACCAGACGCTTTCCAGTCTGTATGAGTTGAAGGTGAGAGGGTCTCATAAGGGTCTTCAGCGTTTCACTTTGACGCTTCTTAATCACTCGCCCTGGTGGAGAAAAAGTGCGTTGATGAAGCGTGGCCAGGATAGTATGAGCCTCAATGAAAGAAAACCAGGCTATTGCACCCTTCATAGCCTTGCGGAACGTCCATGTAGATGTGATTTGACGTCTCGTCGTTCAGCTTGATAATGGCAATATAAGATAATGAATACACGAGGCATTTCATAACGCGTGCTTTAAGTTCGAGGCTTCTCCTCTGAGGCTCCCGCCCTATCGCGAAACCTCTGCTTCAAGGCTTCCTGCGTGGACCCTTCTAGCTATTATTAAGTGAATTAAATGAAGGATCATGCAAATTATGCCACAGGAAGCTCCTTGCAATGCTGATCCACAAATCAAAAGATTCTTGGATAGCACCGAAAATCTTCGTCCTGTGTTGTTAGCTCCAATTCCCCCCAAATCACGAGTTGGAATTGATGCAATATTATAAATTGTGAGAAGAAATATTGATGAGTCTCTGATAAATCCAGCACAGGAGATGCCACATCAAACACTTCCGAGAGATCCAATCATATTGTGTCACTCAACTTTGCCTGCCCGAGGTATATACCGGCTCCTTCTTCAATACCCATATTTGTTGTTGTTGATTATGCTGGAGGTAAGAGATCTTTTCTCTATCTGATTATTCGAAGCTGTCAGAATTCGAGGCCGAGGAAATATTGGATCATTAGTTAGACTTCTCAACGAAAAATTATATCATGTAGATTCTCTTCAGCCTGAAGTGCTTGTTGATTCAAGGATCTGATGATTCAGTCAATTCAAGAATGATGTGAACTCTGGTCTAGGTATAGTATGGAGCACCAACTGAGGTTACAGTGACTGCATTTTAGCAAGTCTCAGATTCATTGTGATTTGTCTTGTTCAAATCCCTCACAACGGCCATCCATGTTAGGCTGTAGCGATTTGGATATATCATGTCTTTATTCAATCAGAATCATTTTTATTAAGTAGCTACCATAGTGAAAAAAATATATACGTTGTGCATATCTTAAATTGCCAAGGGCTTCTATTGAGTGAAATAAAGTAGTTGCCTGATTGTCTTGTCATCCCTTTGAAACAGTGCGGAAGAGCGTCATGTTCAAGTACTACCTCGCCACCATGCCTTTGCAAAATCAACAACGGACACAAAGCACACTGTCCGCCAAACGCTGAGACCTAAGCGAGGTAAAACGCCCTTGAACAGACCTCGAACCCCGTTCTCTGCGGAACAGAGATATCATAATCCATTGGGAAATGTGCCTAGCTTTTGTTTTAGAATATCAGAAAGAATCTCACCTCGATAAATGAATCCCATTGTGTTCAGAATTGTAAGTTTAGCTGGCCGTCCGGGACGGGGTTGAGCCATCGATTGCATCTCTACCCGCACTACTTCGATTGGCTGGAACGACTAGATGCGATCAGTACCTGATAATTATAGCACGTAACATGGAAAAGGATACTCACATGATTCCAACAACCCAAGGCTCCTCCAATGCTGCTACTGATTAGTTTTTCTGAAGCACTCAATGATGATTCGGCGGGTCTACCGCGTAGACTGCGGATCCCATCTTCAGCTAGACGTGCAAAACCCATCCTGTGGACGTAAGCGAAACTGATGAGCTTAGAACCCCGGAAATTCAGGCATGGTGTATCTAAATGAAGAAAGAAGTGGCAGCAATATCTAATACATACCGTGATCCCCAATTTGTACATTGCCGAAGTGTACATTGCCGAAGCGCAACGGCGTGCACCCCTTTGTTTATGCCTCGGATTCCGTCCTGCTCAAGTCATGATATGAGCAAAATAAATCAATAGGATTTGGAAGATGTCCTTGCCTTTTTGAAGATCTCGAGGAAGAGAGACATTGTTCCTTTGGCGGGACTCCCATTCGGCATACTGGCACGAGTTATCTCTGCGGTCTACCAACCACAAATTCCTCAATTTGAACAGACTTTACATGAGATGGGAGAGGGAGTTACCTACTTTCATTGTTGTACTAACGCCCATAGTCAGATAGGCTTGGGCTATGCCACCTCCACATCCGCCGATCAGCCCAGCGCTCGCAGGTGAAAGATTGAATTGCCGAACCGAAAGGGATTCGAGTTCTGCAGCGGTAAATATGAGGATGGCGCCTGCAGAGCTTGCCTCGATCCACGCCTGAAATTCATTGACCAAGTATAAGAAAATCAATCATAATTCCTCTGCATAAAATTCCTTAGTGAGAGAATGATATGAATTTTGACGAACCCAGGGTATCAAGCCTATCAAATCCAAATTCATTCACAGGTACAAAATGCTTAAATCAACTGGTTGACTCATATCACGACGGCTGTTTAACCTGAGTAGTTTATCTGGGACGCATAACTACCCCTCCGGGTATCAAAGATATGATTGATTTTGTACCTTGATAGAAACCTTTGAAGCCTCCTCGTGACCACACTTGAGAAATCGCGTCTCGCAATCGACAATCTCGGTGCGCAGCCAAATGAGTTTTGAGCACTTCAAGAGGCTGCCCCAAAGTGGTGATCTCGAACATCGACACTCCCGCGCCCAACAGCAGATTAGCGGGTTGAATTTTGCGCTGTAACGCACTGGAGCCGGCTGGCGAAGCTGGCACATGAGTTGTTTTCATGGCGATCTTAGCTCTCACAGAACTGAACCGGGTGGCGCAGGTCAACAATTCAAATCAGAATTACCAACTCTTGAATAAGATCGCTGTCTTTCCATTCGAGAAAGTCTAAAAGATGAAGGGGAATTCCAACGTACTTTAAGGCTCTACTACTGGTGATAGTTGTATGGGAATGGCAAAGTTGTACGGAGAGATGTTTTCGAGATGATGAGAGTTCAGTAGTCGAGGTGGTGGCCTGAATCCATCTATATGACCAATGAAGACAAATGAAGTATGAACAGGGGGGAAGTCTGAAAAGTTGATTGGGGGCCAGGAGAAGACTGAGTGGGGTGGAGTTGAAAAGGAGGAAGGATGATAAGGTTAAAATACAAATGATCACGAATCACTCCCATTATAAAAAACTTATGAGAATAGTGAGTTGACGGCTACTTGACAGGAGCAAAGTGGAGACAAGCGGAACACTGATTATACTTGACGCCTGGTCTTTTGCTGCTTGCAGTCGATGTTAACCCATCGACCAAATTTGACCATCAACCTTTACTGGATCATCCCCCGTTTATATATAGGTCGTCATTTTCAAAACTTTGATAGCTTCATACGAAAGCCTCAACGATTCCCTCTTGTTTCTGTTATGATTAGATTAAGATGTTGTGACCAATGGAACTGTTTATCTTTTCTATTTATGTGATCATGTTACGTAAAAACTATTCACTATTTGGTAATCTTTGACTGTTCTCATCAAGTAATCATCAGCAAGAGCCCGAGGAGTCAGGACCATTCGCCAATAAACACCAGTCAATCATTTTACATTTCATGTTTCTAGTCACTCACCCATGTGCTCTATTAGCTAGGTTTTTATTTTCCATTCTCCCTGGTGCTTTCTTGTTTAAAGAGTTGATCTGCACAAGCTCTCTACGGTTTGTTGGTGTAAAAGTATGTAGATGAACCTCAAGGATGAGACAAGTGGAAGAAAACTTCTGCGTGTAGAATTATAGATGATGTGAGATAAACAAAAGGAAGGGTAGTACTCAACCTTCTCAAACCTTAAGATAGCAGATAGGCAAACAGTTGGTTCATATCAACAATGTGAATGCCTATCGAGTTGCGGCAAAGGGGGAAACATTGGACACATCACATGTTGCAACCCTGAATGTCTATCTCGATTCTCAGACATACCGTGAAATCACTTTCACAGGAAATTGATTTTCATCGACACTACGCATGTGACTATGAATTGATACCTAGGTAGACATCCGAGCAAATCACTTATGTGATAATCCGCAATGTGAGGCTCGCTGTTTGGTTCCTCGCAAGCGCATTCAGGACTTGCAAAAAATCTCCGTGAGCACAATGCAAAGTCAAGACTCAAGGCAGACGGTACATAGGCTCTACACGGGCTATAACACTTCGTGCTTGGTGTTATCCTCATGAGGTATGCGTGTCCCCCAATTCACGCGCAGATCAAGGGGTGGGATTGATTGCTGAGCATGAAGTTTGTTCCCATTCAAATTGCAGAAAAGGGGACTTTGAGCTCCACTTGGCCATATTTTGATATTTCAGTAAGCCGAGTTGTGATGTGCGTGAGCGTACAAGCGCAACTGATTAGTATATTGATCCAGATTTTACTCTAGGAATGTCAGGTGGTGGAATATAGGTTGTAAATTTGGTAACAACAATTTATCACCCCTTTCAGCCCAATATCTGAAAATGCTAAGGCCTACACTGTACAGTGTACTGGTGGATAGAAGATATGTTTGTTAAAGAATATAAAAGTGGACAAATACAGGTTACAGTATTGCATAGTCATAACAAGGCGGTTTGATTCAAGTCACCTCGATGCGAATAAGAACGGGAATAGGATCAACAAGGTATTGGATAGGATAACATGTATATAGGACTTTGTTCATCGTAGGCAAACCCGTCCACTATAGTTCATCGTGATCACCCAGAGGGTCATCATCCTCGTCTGTCAGTGGCGGGGCTAGAACATCGTTTGGGTTTGAAGACGATTTGGAGGCCTCAAAAGGTGGTATGGATGTGGCTGAACAAGTGGACTCTGCATCTCCTTTTGAGTCAAAGGAGCATGTCGAGGCTGCTTCTTCGGTGTCAGAGTCAGGCAAGTCCGTCGGAGTTTCTTGTTCGTCAGGTCGCATAGCACAAAAAGCAGAGCCAGAATCGAGGTTGTTATCACCAGAACATGTTGAGGCTATCTCTTCTTCTTGGAAGTCGACAGAGCCTCCGTCCAAGTTGCTGTCACCAGAGTCGGTCGAGGCTGCTTCTTCTTCCTGGAAATCGACAGAGCCTTCGTCTAAGTTGTGGTCACCAGAGCCCGCCGAGGCTGTCTCTCCCTGTCGGAAGTCAGCAGAGCACGCAGAAGCCGTTTGTTCATCAGGTCCAGGAGCAGAACACATGTGGGAATTCAGCTTCGGTTCCGGATGTGCGACCGGCTGCTGATCTGCTTTTGAGGGAGGCGCAAGATGCGTGTCGGGGATGACCGGTTTGGGATCAAGCTCGTCTACACTTGACGAGTCTCGAGAGTTGGCTTCTTTCACAGGCTCGAATATAATATCCGCTTTGGCGTGCTCACTCTTCTGAGCTTTAGGTGAGGCAGGCATAGGCGTAAACATGGGAAGAGCCGCTGCGGAAGTTAAGGTTACCCCAGCGATGGCATCATAGACCGCATCGCTAACTCCATTGACGACTTCGTCGGGGGATGAGAGATGGTCTGGGGTGGACTTGATGAGAACTGGCTTGATGCGCGAGACGGTACTGATGAGCGATAAGCCACGGTCCAGGATACGTTTCTTGAGGATGTAGAGACAGACAAGCATAAAAAACGCTAGAGCAGCGCCCAAGATGAGTCGGTCGAGAACATCAGCCCTCTGAATGGAAGTGATAAGCTGTCGAGAGGTGGTCAGTAAGTCGGAAAAAGTGATATATTGATTCGAGGTGAGGTTCAAGGTCTTAGTCTGTTGCTCTTTAAGAAAGATCACAACAAATTTCAGTCAGCAGTCGGAAGGTTCTACATCTTTTACTACTTACCAAGCATTTGAGTTGATAACACTGATCGGTCAAGCTCCTGTTTCATCAAATTCAATGTACTCTTCAATGATTCAGCTACATCAGTTGATGCTGACATGAGAGCTTCATCCGGATTCGACGATCTTGAACGGTCTTGTTTGGTGACTGTAGATTGCTTCAAGAGTTCGGAACGTGAATTGATCAATGAACTGGACGCAATCTTTCTCTTGGTTTCGAGTGAGGTGGTTCGAAGTTTAATCCTCAGACTGAAAGGCTCGTGGTAAACCGTTGCGATCAAAATGGATGAAGTTTGTTTTCGTAAGATCATTGATAAATTCACCCATCACATCGTCACTTGGTTCTGATCACCCACCGCGCACTACGCTCTCTCAATTCTCGAATCTTATCAAGAGCTTGAGCGCATTGATTGTCATCTTCACATTCATCACCCAAAACTTCGGCGTCCTTTGAAAAGAAGAGTACAATTGATCAGTACGGAAAATCAGCTAGCTTGGGTTGATACTCGAGAGATTAGACTGACATCTAATTTCCGATCGAGGTATGTAAATTCATCACGGCCAAATGAAGCTTGAGTATCGAAATCTTCTGAAGTAGTTGATGAAACAATAGAAGGTATCAGATGAGATTCGATATGATCTAAAGAAGCAAGAATGCTAATGATTAGGCTTTGAAGATCTGAAGGAAGTGGTGTATCCATGGAGTGGTGCTGCTGACAGATGGTCAACAAACTGCTCAGCAAGTCATCGACCTTCACACCATGACCACTCGCACTCTTGACCGGATTTAACTTTCGAACAGACTTAAATCAGTTTTTAGCGTAGTGTGGTTAGGTTTTTGGGTCATTACATGTAGTTCGAGACATGTACATAGGTACTGTTTACATACAGATACGTACACAGCATTCAAGCTTGGATATGGCTCTCACACAAACTCGTCATCATCAACTTCAACTTCAACAACAACATCCTTGACAATCAAACATCCATCATCAAACATTCAGTCATTCATCATCCTTTGAATATCAACTTCAAATCTTTCGAACTTTACCTTTTGAATTCTTTTCAACATGTCAGGTTCATGGTGGTGGGGATCTAGTGCTCCTGTGACTGAGTTTGATCGTGTTTTAGGTAAGTCTTTCTTGACTAATATCTACTGGTTGATCATGGATTGACCTCCCACTGTTTGTCTATGATCTTCATAACTTCTCTCAGAGGCTTGTACCTCTTCGAATCTACCTTCTTCCGCTCCACCACCTATCACAGATTCATTGGCTCTCTCCGATCTCATCCGGTCATCTGCCGTACCCGCTTCTCATGCCGTCAAATCATTAAGGAAAAGGCTCACTCATTCCAATCCCAACGTTCAACTCTTGGCTACTACTGTCATCGATATTTGTATCAAGAATGGTGGTGATGCATTTCTAAAAGAGATTGGTGCTCGTGATTTTAGTGAAGAATGTGCTCAGATTTTAACCAATCCATCTTCAAATCGTGAGGTACGAGAGAAGCTTAAAAAAGAATTTCAGAATTGGGCTTTAGCATTCGAAGCAGTTTCTTTCCTTTCACATTCCGAGCTTGTTCACAACTATAAACGATTGAGTTCGCTAGGAATAGAGTTTCCTCCACGGGATCCTTCAGCTACAGCTGCGATGGTCGACTCCATGTCGGCTCCCGAGTGGCGGGATAGCGATGTTTGTGAACGTTGTCGGACACCTTTCAGCTTCACCAATCGAAAGCATCATTGTCGGAATTGTGGCGGAGTGTTTGATGCTCAGTGTAGTAGCAAGAGACGAGCCCTGGCTCATTTTGGTGTCACCGAACCTGTACGAATTTGTGACGGATGTGATCGTACTCTCAGCGCTGGAAATGCCTCAGCCTCAAAAACAGGACATGTAGTTGGTCGAAGGAACAGTTTCTCGGGTGAAAATCAGTCCTCTTCACCCTCAAAGCTCTCTATGCCAGGCTCTCATCATCGCAGTGCCACCTTTCATGCTGGTGCTGCTGGTCGTTCAACACATCGCTATACTCACTCTACACCTAATCAGCTTCAGCTCTCGAATCGCGAAGAAGACGATCTCGAACGCGCTATTGCCTTATCACTCCAAGAATTGAACCCCCCTCAACGTGCTCCTTTCATCTCTCGATCTTTGCCCGAGCACACCCCAGCACCGACATTTGCTCAAGGCCCTTCTAAGCCTCCGGAGATGTCAACGACAGAAGGAGATGATGATCCAGCTCTGGCTGCGGCCATTGCAGCCAGTCTTAGGGATGTTGAGAACTCGTCTGCCCATCAGCCCAGTGCACCTTTTCCCGCATCTCCTAGCGAAGGCAGTCGTCGGTTACCTCCCAAGCCGGTGTGTTGCGCGTTTCAAAGTACCTTGATCTCTCAGTCAACATTGAATGAGCTGATGATATGAAAATATTTAGCCGCTACCCTCTTATGAGCTCACATCAGAGCAAACAAATGTGTTGTACAATTTTTCCACCGATGTCGACTCGGCTCTTCAAGCCGGTTCACTCAATCCTTCTAATCCAAGCCTGAGGCAATCGCATGCCCAGGCTGAAGCAATTCGACCTCTTATGATGCGTGGTATTGAAAACGCGGACCGCAAGATGCGTGCGTCTTTCAATAAATCAATTTGCTCTTCCAAACAGCTGAAGTTTTCATCATTTGCTTGATTGATTCTTGTCTTGGTAGAATTGCTGAGAGAGATGAACGACAAATTATCAGGAGCAGTCAGAACCTATGATCGCCTACTGAGCGAGCAGATCATGTATCGCACGCAATCTTCTATGAGTTCTGGTACGGTAGATCACTCCCGGTCAGGTGAGCGTCTCGCCCGATTTGTATGAATGCATCGGCTCAAGGCTAGCATTGATGATGGAATCTTTTCCTTTCAAAAAACAAGCTTATGCTCCCCAGCCTTCCTACAATCCATCCCAAATCGCGCCTTATCACCTACAAGTCAGTGAGAAGCTTGTTGTTTCAGCTCACCCGAAAGTATCACGCTAAGCAGCCTTTTTGACTTCACTTTTCAGCCCAACTTCACTCCATCTATGCAACCTCCTTCAAATAACCCCACCTTAACGAATCGTGAAGTTCCCAACGGCCCTCATCAATCTTACCTGCATGCCGGTTATCAGCCTCATGCATCCGAAGCTCGACAGATGCATCCGAATGTGCCTTCATCTGAAGGTGATAGTGGATATAACTTCAATAGTCCTTATCATCCACAAGCTTCGCTTGGAAATGACTTGAGTGCTCCTCATCAAGCTTATCCCAATGGTCCCACTTCAACCTCGCCCGTTGACATGCGACCGTCTCCCCTACCTCATGGGTCTCTCGCACCAGTTGAACACACGCCATATAATCCTGCTACTGCCCAATTCAGTCATAACCCTCAAAGTTTTGCTACCAACTCGGAGCCTGCCAAGCTGAACCCCGAATCATCTACATCATCGTATCATGTGACCAATGAATCATCTTGGATAAATCAGCCAGCTATAAGTCATTATGACCCTCAACATCAAGAACTGAGGAGTGTGGTACCGGGTTCGACGTACTTGTCTGAACCAGGAAGTCAACCGATCTCAACATCACCATCGATGACTCATGGAGAACCATCAGGAATGTTACCAGTCTCAGTTGAACGACCAAGAGATTCACAGAATCCATGGAGTATTCCTCCAGACTTTCGACCTGAAGTATCAACCTATCCGGTAGAAGAAGTTCATGCATCCATACCTATCACTACACCTAGTTTTCCTAGTGTTCCTAATACTGAACCTAGATGGACACATGAATGGGAAATGCATGGAGATATGCAACCCAATAGACAAGAAGAAGTAGGACCATTGATTGAATTATGAAAGAAAGAAGGAAAAAAGAAAGAAACGAGTTGAGAATGGCTTGAAAGCATGTTGATTTGATTTGGATTTTTCATGAATTTTCCTTCTGAATCGAATGTCATCTTTTCCAGATTCAAATTCAAAGAATATCTATTATTCTTTATTTTTTTCTTTATGAAGTGTGTAGGAGTAGATCATGATTGGTGTTTCGTTTCTTTTTCTTTTGTAACTGGCAAATTCTTTTTTTATACAATACTTTATTGTTGAGGTGTGTACTAAAAGAATTGGAGATGAAATCAAATGATGAAGAGATGTTTATGATGAAAGTAAGGAAATGGAATTCGTCACAAAGGAAGTTGACTCTTGAATAATTTGAAGAGGTGAGATTGAAGTGATTTGAGATGAAAATGTATTTTGTAAAACTGATTTTGTACAAAGTGACTTGACGAATTGTTGACAGAGTTGAGAGTGGCTGTTATCCATCTTGAAGTTCGACTGTTCAACTTTAATTTTACATTTTGATTGAATCAAATCTGGCAGAAGTTCATCGTCGACGGCCATTGATGGCTAATTCAACATCAATACCTTATTCTCGTCTTTCAATAGACGATACTTATCATCGATCATCTTCATCATCAGATCTCAAAAATGGAATCTCAATCTCAAACATTCTTTCGATCATCTATCGATTAAAATACGTCCTACTCATCATCATCATATCAATCATTTTCTTTAAATCAATGATCGAGACTCATATCGAAATAGCATTTTATAAAAAAGGTTGGATATCTGAACTATTACCACCTAATCCAGCTCAACTCTCAACCCAATGTTTTTCATCAAACTATTTAAATCATACTTACGAACCCAACACCGAATCATTTCCATCTTCACCCAAGTATAATTTAACATTAGGAACACTAGGTTTGACATCCAAGATACTTTCAATCTCACCTGGTTTCCATTTACCTCATCATGATGATTGTTATAGGTTTGGCAAAAGCTTACCATCAAAACCATTGGAATCCATGATCCTTGGATCAGATCAAACTAAATTCTATCATCTCTATTGGCGTTCAGACCTTTCGCCTATCACCGAACGACAGATCATCACCTTACAATCATTATTATCTACTCAAGATTTCTCAAGCCTTTCATCTGATCCTACCAAACTTCGATCTCAGTTGATCTTATGGACAAACCCTTCGAGTAAATCACTCTTGAATGATCCTCTACTGGCTCCATTCTTATCAAAACATTCATCTCAATTAACTTTGAAAGTCATCGATCTAAATCAACTAACACATCAAACGCCTATGGAATCTCATCCGATCTTGAATTCCACTTTCGATAAACGTGCTTGGTTAGATGGTGATCTGATCAGAGTTTTGGTTTTATGGAAATTTGGTGGGTTTTGGGTAGATATGGATAATTTGGTTTTAAAAGATTTAAATGTATTAGGAGAACATGAGTGGGTAGTCATGTGGGATTGTTATGGTAAGTCAAAGTCTCAGGATTCCTAAAAAACAATCACCACGTTTCTTAACATGCACTGATTGATGGAATGGTCTTGTGATGTAGATAAACCTTATGAACCACTTAATGGCCACATCATGCATTTTCAACAACAATCACCTTACCTATGTGAAATGATGAACCAAATGTCACAAGGAACTCCACCCAGACCAGCTTCAACAGATTGGGGCCAACACTTATACTATAAAGTATACAGATCTTTAATTTCATCTGGTGTCACTCCATTTAAAGTCTTACCATTCTGTTTAACAGATGGTAGGAGTTGTACATTGAGAGATAGATTACCTGATCCGTTTGCTAGCCTTCAAGAAGAGTCTAGATGGAAATGGAGTAAGGAACGTTGGGATCAAGTTGAGGAACGCTTGAAGGGTGTCTTTAGTATTCATTTACATAATCAATGGGATAAAAGCTTTCCTAAGGATGGTTGGATTAGAAGGATGTATGTAGAAAGATGGCCAAAAGAATTAATCAGCTAGAAGTTTGTAACTTGGTTTTGTAGATCTTTTGTTTGGTGGGTTTGGTTATGAAGATTAGTGTGAATGATTTGGTTTTTTGGTGAAGTAGTGAGGAGTATCTATGTGTTTGGAAGTGTAGGTACAATGAATGGATTTTGTTAATCATGATGACTTGTAAGATTTAGAAGTTTGTTAGACCCTGCATTTTGCATTGTACAAGAGTTTATAAGAAAAATCATTTAAAGGAAAGCAAATTGCATTTGATATTATTGATCTTCCATCAGATGATCTCCATAAATATAAATTGGATCTTGGGTATGTAGATAGTCCAAATAAGAAAATTCCAAACAGTTTGAGTCATTGTTCATTTAAATATATGGAGTTTGATCAATCTCCATACGTGCAGTCATTGACCAATCATCTTTTTCTTGCTGTCTAAAGACAATAAGATGTATTACTTACCATCAGCTCAATGGAGCTCATAATCATCATGTAAATATCAGGAGCTTCCAACACCCAATCACTCATTCCTCATAAGTAAAATCTCAATGATCATATAATCCAAACCCCAGATCAAAAAGACATCTATACAAAAGACCGTGACGTATAAATAAACCAAAAGAAAAAAACAAACATCTCATCTTTCAAGTTCTCAAAGTTATTCATTAAATATTCATTTTGATCTAGACTCCTTTCTTTTAGTATCCGTATCCCACCTTTGTCTTCATCTTTTTCCTACAACCAATCAAATCTTCCGTCCATTTTTTTGTGATCCCATTAAACCATAATCCATCAACCATACTCTGAGTCCCACCAATAAATAATCACGCCAAAGAAAAATATACCAAGTTAAAAAAATCTTACAAACCATTAATCTTATATATATATATACATAATTGTATAAGTATTATTGTATCAGAGTTTCATATAAGTTGATCTAATAAAATAGTAGTAATAATAAGAAAATCATCAAAAAGAATAAAAAGATAACATCAGTTGTACATACATTCTTCTTCTTGGTATGAGACTGATCCAAAGAAGAAGAAGAAACTTCAAAATTAAAATAAGTTTGTAATACGATAAGAGTTTTATAAGAAAAAAAACAAGTCCAGGGATTCAGGTTAGTTTTAAACCAATTCTTAAAGAATCAAGATCATATATAAAGATTCTACACACACAGACACACAACACACACAAGTATTATAAATGGAATCACTTCATATAGTTAAAAAATAAGATTATAAGACGTAAACTTTTTTGGGAAAAACACACAAAGGTTTCAAAAATAACAAGTCCAGAATTCAGGTTTGACTAAGTCTTGAAGCATCAAGATCATCTAAATATTCTACACACAAGTATGATAAATAAATAAGATTAAAACCAATTGTCTTGTAAAAATGTTTTGGTATGTATGTGTGTTTGTGAGTGTGTGTGAAGCCCTCGAAGTCTTTCTGATAATTTAACTAATCACAAGTTATATATATAATTTTTTTTTCTCGCAACTTCATGAATCCTGACGTCTCCTGACCCTAGTCTTTTCTCTAACCTGACCAAGATATTTCCTAAACCGACTCTTATTCTCCGTTTCTGATTCTCTAGGACCCGAAACCCCTCCATTATTCAATCCACTTCTACTTTGATTAGAACTACTACTTTGGTTTTGTTGTCTCGAGGTTTGTAACATCGCACGTAAGTTGGCCACAATTTGAGCTTCGGTAGGTCGATCAGTAGTAGAAGAAGTAGATCTTCGGTCTTCAAGATTTCCAAGACCTTCGAGTTGTGAACTTCCATTATTGGGATTCGTATTTTCACTAGACCCCTCAGTCGTCCTTTCACTCGATTCTTCTCCTGCAATCTTCGTTCCATCTTTTCGTGTTGATAAATCCCATCGACATAACGGACAAAACCGTGAAACATTTAATCTGTACAGAAAGATCAATCACGATCAGATTAAGTCAAGATGATGTTCCGAGAGGTACGGTCAGATTACGTACAGCCAAGGATCCACACATTCTTGATGAAATCTGTGCCTTGCATCACAAGGCAAGACACGAATATCGTCATCATCATCAAAGTCACAAACGCAAATGGGACATGTGACCGAGTTATTCACATCCCCGACCATCTCTGACACCTCTGTGACTGTTTCAGCAGGCAAATGGTCAGCTCCCTTCTCCGCCTTAGTAGAAGATGATTCCATGGCCCCGTCTATTGGATGAGGGTCATTTCCGTCAGACTCCTTTTTGTCTGGTAACAATGATGAACTCTCGTTACTTTTGGGTGACGTAAGGATGGCATTGACGGGTACGATTTTCGAAGGTTGATGATCATCATTGGAGGGAGAGATAATGGTGGTATCGGAATGATTACCTTTAACTTGATCTTCAAGCTGAGTAGATAATAAATTAGACAAAGCCAAAGATTCCAAGACGACCGAATCATCACCCGTTTCACTCCTCGTACTTTCAATCTTCACAGGATGTTTATTCAAACTTTGATTAGGTGACTCAATACATGTTTGACCACAATCTTGCATCATAAATGATTCTTCATCAACCGGTCCAATCACTGAATCTTTCTTTTCGGTAACTCTTTCGGATCCCATAGGTAAGATTGAACGACCAAACTTGACCACCGGAAAGGTATCCAGGATGGCTCTTGTTAATCCAGCAACACGTGTCTGATGACCCAAATTAGCATCTTCGCCATCCGTTTCATCAGAATCAGAAGGATGACCTCCAGTACGTGGACCGTATCGTTCAGGATGACGCATGGCCCGGATCGCTCCTGAGATGATTACGATCAGAAACCTACCCACAAAGGTATTAGGAGACATGAGAAGAAGGGTAGCCGGAATCACAAATAAAAGGACCCGTGCACTTAGTTTCTCATTAGCATTGATATGAATAGACCTTGATCAGATGAATCGATTAGATCAAGGAAGCAGCTTACATGAGAGTCACGCATCCAGTAATGGCATATAAGATGATCATAGCAAGTCCAGTGTTAGAACTACCACCTCCGTTGTTGTTATTATTGTTATTGTTCGAATTAATATTACTCTGTTGTTGAGAATTAGAGATAGCGTTCCCATTGGCAAGAGTAGCGATGAGATAGACAGGAGTAGAATTGTTAGATTTCGAAGGATTCGATTTCTGAGCTCCCACCGAGTTAGAGTTAGTGACCGCCAATTCGAATGCATTGGCATGAGGAAGTGACCGACGAAAACGAGTGTTATTAGACGATTCTCCAAATAAACTTGGAGCTGCATCAGGTGTAGATTCAGGTGCAGCGACTGATAAAGTTGAAGCAGGTGCCATTGCAGCTGCATAACCGGTTTGATTGATTTCATTAAGAATAGTAGAAGCAGAAGAATTGAGTAGATCAGACTGAAACCAATATCCAGATCCGACGACATTACTATTTGAAGAAACAGATTTAGCCAAAGTCATTGAAGAAGAATTATTAGAGATTGACTGACCTGAATTGAGATTCAATCAAACGAGCACCCTGTAAGTTTGCTGAACTAAAGACATCCAATGGTTTTTCGAAATTAAGAAGATATTCTGAATTCACACTACAAGATCTTGCAGTCAGAGAGTAAAGTACAGCAGCTGCTGCTCCACGATCACGAGCCAGAGTGAAGATATCATCGACCATTGAAAATGTTGAAGTATTGGTATCGCAGCTATGAAAAGTTGATTGAATGGTTGAAATGGATTGGATGTTTGAAATTGATTGATTGATTGAGATTGATTGAATAAGATTTAAAGTGGTCATCAGCGATCTAAGTCAGACTTGATTTGTTGAATGTTTTGAAAAGCTCAACCTACTTGATCATGGCAATCCAAGGGACATTGGCCGGAGGTTGAGCAGTAGCATTAACTTCAGAGAAATGAAGTAAAACACCTTGCTATAGAGGAGATAATAGAGCTGATGAGTTGAAGTGTGTGTGAGAGGGTAAAGAGTTCAAACTTACATGTAAAGAAGAAGAAGGTGTATTGTTAGCTTGAAGTAATCTATTTACACCATCTGAAAAGATTCCAATGGGATGCCAATTCAATTGAATAAACCAATTTGTATCAGTGATGTTAGGATTGATATTTTGAGAGATTGATTCGTTATTTGGAGTAGCCGGAATATAAGCATGAGTGAAGTAGAAGATATGATTTGAGAAGATAGTGATGATGAACAGATAACAGATGAATGATGAATTGTCTTTGAATGAGATTGAAGATCTTGATTTGATAGATTGATGAATCGATGGATTGATTGATTGATTGGTTGGTTGATTGAAGATTAGTTCAAGTGATAGATTGATTGAGTTGGATTGATGGTTTTCATGAGTTGATGATCTGATTGGATGTCTTGTTGGATTAAGTTATTGATGGTTTGGAGATGGTTTTGGTGAATTGACCAGTTTTGATTTTGATTAGTCAAACTTGAATGTGAATTGTATGCATAAATTAAATTAAAAAACCAAATCCTAACCAACTGATTTTCTATTTCAATTTGATTTAAATTCACGTCGTCCTGACAGCATCAATTACAACCTATTTTGGTCCTAGGATATCATATCATATACATACACTCAATATGCTTATATCATATGTAGTGCTCCGATGTGATATGTAACATGTAACTAGGTTTCACTTCACTTTTTTTTGATTTCTTGTTGGTTTTGATCACTTTTTGAATGTGTATGCGCTCTTCTGTTTGATTGATCCAGCAAAATGGAATCTCCCAATCATCAACTTCAAGAATTCAATCAAATCTTAAAAACCATTTCAGCTTCCAAAACACCAATTCAATCGATCCATCAAGCTTATTCATTCGCTTCATCTTCGATCTCACCTCAACATCAACTTCAATATTTACTTTCATCCATCTTAGATTCAAATCAATCAAATTCTTCAAAATCGAACTCAAACTTCAATTCTATCTTGATTCATGAAACTGGGTTTTGGTCATTATTTCATCAAATCTTATCAAACTTATCATCAGATCAAATCATTCAATCTACTTCTAAATCGTCAATTCAAGCTTTTATCCAAATCTCATTCAAATCTTTACCAGTCTTATTAAATCAATCAGATCAAGCCAAATATGTTTGTAATTCTTCATCAATCTTGATCAATTCAATATCAAATAGAATCTCATTCGAATCAATCACAGATCTCATTCAATCTATCTTGGAAGTTTTCATCAATCTTGAAAACCCCATCAGTTTGGAATTCGAAGAAATCATATTGATCTTGACTAATGAATTATTATTTAGCTTACCTCAAACTTCAAATCTGCGTAAAGGCATCACATTAGCTTCTGATCATCATTTTGTTCATTTATTCTTATCATCTTTATCAAAAATCGGGATTACTTCTTCAATCGGATCTTCATTACTTCGGTTCCTTACGGACTGTATCTTTAACATTGATCAACTCAAACGATCATTGTCGTTTCATACTCCATCACGTGGACTCGAAAAGGATTTAGATTGGCTCGTGAGTTTACGTTTGGTGGTTGTAAATCAACCTCAATTAGCTATCCCAGGTGAGTAACCATCTCTTTTTTCTTTTGGCACGAACTGCAAAACTAATCCGCTTGACTATCTATCTTCTAGCTATTCAATTATTACCATCCTTGATCCTAGCTTTGATCAAGGAGAGATCGGTCATTCAAGCCCATGTCTTTGCACCTATAGCGGCTACCTCTGCACGTCCTACTTCGAATGGAATCGATCAAACCACCAATTTAGAATCTGCTCAAGATTTCATCTTACATTTCGTTCTCTTTTCTCATCAACTCATTCAAACTTTAGTGCTTCCCTCTGATGATTCAAAACTTATTGAACATGCCATCAGCAGTATCAAAACTATCACAAGTGATCTTTTGGCCGCTAATATATATTCCCTTTCTAGTCGATTTCATTTTGAAGTCATCGATCAAATTACAATTGCATGTATAGACCGTTTGATCGAATCACCTAAAATCGCTACAAAATCATTTCAAACCTTATCGGATATCTTAACAATTGATTATAGAATCATTGAAGCTCGATTACCTCAAATCTTACAATCTTTATTTTCAAAAACCTTTGACGACTCTTCACTCTTGGTTGCCATCGATACATTTCTCAATGCGTTGATTGAATGGTTTTCAAAAGCTAAACAAATCCCTCAACTCCTCAATTTCATTCACGATGCTCTTGATCAGAACCTTTCAAAGTCTTCATTATCAATCTTGATGTCCACCCCATTGAATAGCTCAGTCACTATTCGAAAGTTACAACACGAACTTTTGTTGTCAGTCTCATCAGCTCAACTGAATCAGGCGCATGCCACTGCAAGTGATCGACTTCTCAATGCCTATCGTACCATCTTTCCACCTCGGGGGATTGATGATGAAAGATCTTCTAAAAAATCAAAACGATCTACTGAACCTACTGAACCTACTGAATCAACCATGGCTGTCGAGAATTCCCAGAATGACAAAACTCCCCCGTCAGAGGTAGATGTCGCTAGATGTGTTACTTGCAGTCACTTTTACATTGTCCTTGCCACCGCAGCAGCTCGCTCCTTACTTCATACCCAAGATCCACCGTTGGCCGTGGCCTTGGATGATACTCTACGTGAACTTACGGGAATGATATCGGATCTGTGTCCTGAATCCAAAAAGAACAAGCGCGCGAGATCTTCAGATGGACTTCTGAGCACACCAGGATTACAAACCGTCGTGGCTACTATCTTTGAGATCCTCAATGCTGTTTCCGAGCTTCGACATTCTACTACCAACTTTACTCCAAAAGACCTATCAAGGTGGCTCAAATTCTCATCAAAGGCTATGAATGAAACTTGCGAATTGAATCCAGCTCTCGTGGTACAGATTGTCAGTCTTCCTCCTTCACATCATACATGTTTGGACAAGTGATTGAAATTTCCGTCCAGGCTCAAGCTGCACTGTTGCAGATATCAGCGAGTGTTACCTCTGATGAAACTCCCGGTGATTTAGCCTCGCTGGCTTACGATGTCATTCTTCGACTGCTGGATTTCAAAACTCACGAGGATATGGATACCGTTTGGAATGGTGCATTTCACTCTTTGACCTCTAGTCAGATACCATGTGCGATCTGGTACAACTTTAGCACGATTCATCTCTCCAACTTTTCTGATCTTGCTACCACTGAACAGCTCCAGAGCTTATCCAAAATAATCCTGAGGTGTCCGCCGTTCCAACTGACTCAAGCTGTGGAGGAAAAAAATCAAGCTGCGATTCCCAAGCGTGGCTCAATTACTTTTAGACAAGTTAACGCGGCCTTAGTAAGCTCGCCGTCTCTCCATGAACTAGACCGTGTATGCACTTCAGTATTGCAAAGTGGATTAGATCTTCTACGACATATATCATCATCTTATGACATTAGTACACCGCCATCTAGAGATACATCCGAAAAAATACTCTTGGAATCTATTGGATTATTCGCGATCCTAGCTAAACTTCCATTGGATTGCCTTTCAAAGTCAAACAGAATTGAATATCTACAAAAGAGTTTAGATTGGAGTTTGAAAATCTTATCAATGCAGGCCGGTTCCTCAAAAAAGAAGTCAACCAAAGAGGATAAGATCCAGGCGCTTGTTACGAATACCAATATATACTCGATCCGATATATTGCATCTCTGATTTGCGCGACAGAAACTACTGTAGATGAATCCTTGATGAACAAAGTCGTCTCTCTTGCGACACTCTTACTATCAAAGAAAATCAATTGGGAATCAAATGATCAAAACGATGTGGTTTTTGAACTATCGGAGATTTATATTCAACAAGCGATATCTTTCATCTTTCGCTCTATGAGTAGCCTGAAGTTGAAGTCTCCCAAAGCTTGGGACGAGATGTCGTCGGTTCTTTTTTCTTGTATAGCAAAGGCATCATCTCATGCGGATCACGACGTTTCAAATGTGAAAAGTAACGGACTCGTGATCAAGGCTATAGATTCGATCATCAACTCGATCAGTTCTTCTGCTCCCAAACGTGGCGTTTCAGATCATCAAGTACATGAGTCTTGGATCGAGTTTGTCAAAGCACTTGTTCAGTGCACTGGTGAAGTCGTAGGATCAGTTTCGATGATGACTTCAACTTTGAATCCTTTTCAACTCGAGATATGTAGCTCGCACTTTCGATTGGTTCGTATAGTCGGTTCAATTGGCCTTCAAGGTGAGTTTTTGTCGTGATCGGCTCATTGTATACGTGTATCTGACACTCTTTCTATCTTCAGACAAGGTTCGAACGTATAAAATGCCCATAAGGAAGGTGATCTCTCTTTCCGAAACCTCTTCTGCCACTGAGTGTCAAGCTCTATTACCCTCAATCAATTCTCCAAATCAATCACTCATCCTAAAAGTCGTGGAAGAAATGGTCAACTTGCAACGAAGCCAAGTCACTCCTAATGGACAGGACACACTCATCAAAGCATTCCAGACTTTAACTCTGTTATATATCTCATGTCTAGTCCATACCAGAGGGGACGGTATCCAACAAGTTAACGAATTGAAGCATCAATACAGTTTAGCTTGTCGTATGGTATCAGTTGAAGAGTATTCAGAAACATTATCTGCACTCTTGGAACATTATGATCGAGTGTTGTCGAGTCTCAATATCACGAGCAGGAGTGTAGGAATGGATGATTCGGTCAAACAACTCAAAGCCACATTAGAGATTGCATCTATCTTGATACTTAACGCACCTGAAGGTAAGTCATCATCATTACACTAGATGTACGTGTCATGAAAATCTTTGCTCATCTTCAATTGGCGATTTTTTGTAGGTCTTGGTAAAGTCTCGCAAACTTATCTTTCATCCTTCATTCGAAGGTTTCAGCATCCAGTCTTTGGCTCTTTACAAAGCTGTGAGACGATTCTATGGCGTAGTCGATTTCTAGAATCGATGTGCACTTACAAGGCAAGCTTCTAATCATCTGAAGCGACATTCCTTTTTGTGTGTCATGGTGCTGATCAGAAGAGGAATGTAGATCAAATTCATTGGACGTCAAGATATAGCTCTCATCCTCGAACTAGTCCTTCAATCGCTTGCATTACCAAAATCGAATGAAGAACCCCACCAAACCTCCGATCTCACTCCAAATCAAACATCCAACAAGTTTACTCGAGAGATTTATCAAAGTTTGATTACGATCGTTTCACAACTTTGTCGACACAGAAGAGAACATATCTTACCTGTTTTCCATCTTTTGATGTCAATCTTACTTGGACTCTTAAGACCGATCTGTCAACCGGTTTACCTTGTTGATCAACAAAACGAAGGAAGATCTAAAGCTTTCTTACCTACTCAAAAGATGATCAAAGAAGCTAAGAATGAAATGCCATCTTGGTCTTGGATCGAATCTGTACATCAATCAGATTGGAATCGATTGGGATGTAATTCAGAAGAAGGTTTGTTATATAATAGGTTATTGATTGGGTTAGGAATCAAGACGAGTTCGATGAAGAAGAAGTGCAAGAGTGATGATCATAAGCAGCAAGAGGTGATGGAAAGAAGTTTAAGACCTCAGATCGTTTCATTACTTCCGGCTCTTTCGAAACATTCTACGTTTTATTTGGTTGAGTTTTTGAAACTTTCAACTGGGTTTATGGGGATTCGAATCAGTTCTGAAATCGAAAATATCTTGAAGAATGGGATTTATGTGGTTTTGAATTCGATGGGAAAACATGAAAGAGCTTCGATTGGGAAAAGGTTGTGTGAAGATTGGAGTTTGGGAACTCGGGATGAAGAGATTGGATGTCTTGGAGTAGGTGTTGTGGGAGGAATCGATTTGGAAGTTGGGAAAGAGGTTTGGAGGAAGATCTTGATTGGTTGGGAATCAAGTAGGTATAAAGGAATTGATTGAAAAAAAAATCAAACTTCTAATTGTTCGGGGATTGGGTTGGAGAGATTGGATTGGATTGGATTGAATTGAATTGGATTGGATTTGAAATTGGATTTGAGAATTGATCTTATACAGTATTTTTTGGTCTTTATATACCTAAATAGGATTCTTTTTAATTCAAGTTTGTTCAAAACATAGAGAGTTGATAACATTTGCTTAATTGATTTAGACATTTTTTGATTTTTTAGAATCAGTTTTTATGGTACACTTGGAGCGCGTTCACTTTTTGCAGTTCCCCTAGAAACTGGATCCTAGAAGAGCATTTTGATACATATGGCAAAGTGATTTTTGTGAAGAGATAAAAAAAATTGTTTTCTTGAGAGAAAAAGTGAAACAGGACAGTGTATTACAGTGTTTGTCTTGATGGTCCTTGAGCACATGGCAGTGATGGTATAAACAACCATCGACCATCATGTTGGACACTTCCAATTCCATGTGGTCTTATCAACATCTTCTTGAAACCCATTCAATCTCATCCTGTTTGTGTTCCAAGCTGGCAAGGAGTTCCTTGCCTCATTAAAGACCAAAAAGATCCTATGTTGAACTTTGAAACTGTACGGAAATCAGTATACCAAGAAGGTTTTTGACAATGAGGGTTCAATGTATCAGCCAAGCATTGTGTGATGAGATTCTTATACATTATTGGCAACTCTGAATCCAATCAAGGTGTTGGAGAACAATTCCAATGTTCCGGCGCTATGGTCAGTAAGTATTTTAAGGATAATCTGGATGCAATTGTTTCTCTACAATTAATTTATATTGTGCAACCCACTGCCGATGGAATATGTCCAGAAAAAAATTGAAACAGCCCTGGGATGTTTCCTTATTTTGAGAAATGTGTGGGTGCTATTGTTGGCACCCACATCCCATGCATTGTGCTTCCTGATCATCAACCAGCACATTGATACCACAAAGGAGACTTAAGCCCAAACATGCTAGCAGGCTGTCCTTCAATATGTTATTTACATTTGTCTATGTGGGTTTGGAAGGGTCTTATGCTGATGCTTGAGTGCAACATCAAGCACTCAAAAAGAAAGGTTTAAAGTTCCTCTCAAATTGTCACGGAATGTATCTTTGGTGTCTCAAAAATGTGATTTCCAATACTGGCCATGATGCTGTGTTAAGCATACAAGACTCAAGTAAAGATTGTGGTTGCTTGTTTACACAACTTCATTTGAACTGAGTCTGGAGAAGATGGTTTCAATGAAGAGGATATGCATTCAAAGAGAGATTATGTACAGTCAAGGCTTGCATGTGATGATGAGCCAGATTGGACTGAACCCAACCTGTGAGAACATAATAAAGCCAATGCAAAGTGTGACAGGCTTTCACAATGGATGTTTGATGATTATATTAATGCATCTGTGGCTCATTGGCATGTTTAGAGCTTTTGTTTTTATTGAAGATCTTCAACATTATGTATTACTATTATATGAGTTGTGGCTATGCAATCCATTATCTCTGTGTTATTTCAAAGTGGATCTGTTTGAACGTGTACCAAATCATCTGCATTTATATTGTTGAGAAACCTCACAGCGGTAAAACACGCTTCAGAACAGGCCGTGCAATTGTTCCACTATATAGCGGGGCAAAACCCTGTACCCAAGGGTAGCTGTATCCTGGGTACAGGGTTGGAACTAACTCCTTTTCCATCAACTGATTCAAACACCCCAGGATGCATGGTGTAGGTGTGTTTTTAGACAAAGTTATGTTTTATTGGTTATGTTTGGTGGTCATCTGGTATTTTAAAATCAATTCCAAATCACTTTTTATTATTAATATCATTGTGTACACATTAATTATACAATCTAAAAGAGTTGTAGCAATGAAGAAAAAGTTGAAGAATCATAAAAATATCAGAAGAGCTTTGAGGGGTGTTTTTGGACATGGGGATGATCTGACAGAAGTTAGGAGAGTGTCTAGAAAGATTTGAAAATTGTATTGAGGAGTGTACTTGAAGAGAATGTGGAAATCAAGACTCTACTCACCTTTGATTATAACCAGTACCATAGATAGGATTGACAACCACAGTTTGGCTGTTGTCAAAAATAATTCCGGGGGGGGTTGTGAAGTGTTGGAAGGGGTGGTCATGGCAGTGCATCTTGTTTCTTATGTTTGAATCAATTGATGGAACAAAGGAGTTGGCAGGAGTTAGTTCCAAAGGCTGTATCCAGGATACAGGGTGTTGATGCCATATTGTCCTCATACTTTCTCTGCTACATTTAGGAATTCACCATTACTTAATGGTATCACCCCGCCTGGTCCTGAAGACAAAAGCAGTATATTGTCTTTATTTGCTGAACTTATTGACATCAGGACTCTTTTGGTCGCCAATACTTGGTTGAGGAAATTGAACTGTTGTTGTAAGTGAGTGACCTGTACCTCTCCTGCCTTAGCAGTTTCAGCTTTACGTAAATGTAGTTTTGCAAACCAACAACTGTTATTTTCTCTGAACTCTATGTGGCTCCCCAGGGTTGCTCTGTCTTCCTTCTTCCTGCGTAGCAATCTCCCTAGGATGGCATATAGAACACCTTGATTACTATCAACTAACCATAGGTTCCTTTGAAGAGGAGGAACAGTTATCTGATTGTGACTGGGGTCTAGTGGTTCACCATGTCTTGTTCTTCCTTGTTACAATGGGTCACATTCAGGAGGAGAGATACAACCTATGTGTCTGCTGGTGGTTGTGAGCTGTGTTGCAGGATATGCCACACCCACATTATGTCCAATCTCTTGGTTGTCACAGCTGTAATCACTCACATAGGTCTGTCTTCTTTCTCTAACCTCAATTATGCTGCCCAAGCAATAAAGTTGTAGATGGCTTTGTTGGTGATTGGCTGACCTCTGTCAAAACCTCCAGAGTTAGTAACCACCAAGTGTTTTCATTGCCCAGCGCTTGTGGCTGCGGGTTTTCTGGCCTCTGACACTTTGTATTTTGCTACCTTGAAATGTTTAGGAAGAGGTGCTACCATTGATGGTGATTTTTTTTGGTTTCTTATTAGGCATGTTCAACTGTCATTTCTACAGGGAGTGCAGTGTCTCAAGAGGCAGGTCTGATATGGTCAGGGTGGCATGTTCCTGGTGTGCCTCAGTGAAAAAAATGGATGTTCAGAAAGGGTATTAAGTCCAAAGGGACTCTTACTGCTAAAATTTCTGAAACATGTTTAGATGAGTCATGCCCTCTTGAAAGCAGGTCTGTTGCATTGTCCTCCAAACACTCTCCTTTGCCTTATGCAGCAGTTCATCTGGTGCAGCTTGTTCTTCATCTTGATCCACTTCAATTGAAACATAGGTTATTTGATAAACCATTCCTCACCACACCCTCTGCAACTATGTTGTTGGTTTAACACAGGAATTCTCTTCCTTCTACCTCATTGAAACACAAAAGCATCAGCAGGCCCAGACAAACTGCCACTGTTTTGCCCAAGGCTATGTCTTGCCTCAAGTATTTTTTTCTAGTGAGACCCATCCTGATCTTAGCCCACACCACGCCCTTCCTTTCCAATAATGATGCATATCCCATCAGTAGTCAACACATCCCCTACCCAGAAAATTTCAAGTATGCCTGGCCACAGGATTATCCTTCTTGGGTCTGTGGTCCCCACCACCCTGCACCATATCAACATGTCTTCAAGGACTGCTTCTGGGATATGAAACTTGATGCACCCATTCCAAAAACCATCCATACAGAGCTATGCAGTGGCATTGGAATTGGGGGCCAACTAGCAACAAATGCATCAACCATCCTGCCATCTTTGCTGCCTCTTTGTACATGCCCTTCCCGTCTTCCACAAACCTTTTAATTTTCTCTGATCTTTTCCCTGGCTTATCATCTGGAATCCTAACTGTTTTGATCTTACCATCCCAGATAAGACCTAAATACTTATGTGTGTGGCGAAGCTCTTGCCACTTCTTGGAGTCTGTGACAATGCCCATCTTTTTGCAAGCATCTGCCATGTCTTTCATGATGCAATGTTTGATCTGTTGTTGGTCTTGAAAAATAGGGTTTCATCTATCCACCAGAATCCTGTGTCAGAACCAAATTTGGACAACATTACAAGTTTCTGCGAGCATCCACTGTCTGTCCAAATGTGCCAAATCCAGCCATGCCTTCAAAGGTTACCTGTGCCTCAAGAAGGATGTTGCCATCAAATTATAGCACCATAAGGTACAGCCACTGTGATTTCTTTGTCAGGATCTGACAATAGTCTTGCCCATTTGAAAATAACTAACAGTGGTACGCCTTCATTGTGTAGCATGAACTTAGCAACCTTCTCAAAATTGTTCTGCAATGTCTTGAGACTGCTTTGTCAACTAGGGTAATCACCAAGTTGACACATGGGTATCTTCTTGGCAAGGAGAGATTGTTGGTTGGTTGTACGTACCAGTTCTTTACTGTTCTCTACAGCATCACAAGGGTTTGTTGTGAAGAACACAGTTCTTGGAATACCTCCTCTTTTAAGAAAACATCCTTCCTGCAACAATTCATTGCTTTAGGTTTTCTTGGACTTTTTGCTCTGATGATTTCACTTATTTCTGGTTATTTATGAAGAAATATCATTTACCATAGATTTGTCTTTCTGGTATCCCCTGGTCAAAACCTTTCACAAAGCCTGTGAGCCCAAACACATGTGACTCTAACAGACCTGTGTCTCTCAATTCCTGGTTCCAAATGTCCCAGTTCATCTCACAGGGTCACACCTGTAGACCACTTCTTCTAATATTGTCTCACCCAGACTCTTAATTTGCCACTCTCCAATCCTTAGGTTAGGTCATAGCTGATTTTTAATTGCAGGGAACAAAGGATAGTTTTGGTAAGTGGATCATGGAGGAATTCTGGCAGATAGGACACAATAGTTTGGTTTGGAAACATCAGTCAGGATCATGGCTTGTGTATGGGATAGCAACAAATGTCTTGTGCAATAGTTAATGGGACTTGGGGCAATGGGTATGCAGTTGAATCATGCTTATCTCACTTCACACCATTCAAATCATTGGACTGCCACCCCATAGACTTGACTTTATACTCACTGGTATTTTGAACAACTTCCTTTCCCATTGGACCTCCTGTTATCATAACAGTTAGGACTCCATCTACAACTTTGAGCCCATCTGGTTTCTTTTTGCTTGCATCCTTGATTTTGGCCGCCATAGTCACAGCACTGTCCTTGTTGCTACTTCTTATCTACACACTTGCCCACAG